CCCTCCTCACATGAATGGACCCTGACGTGCTGAGATGGTTGCCCCAGGCAGGGTCCCTCTGAAGATGATGCTGTCTGACAACACAGATCAATTCAGCTTTTCTTGATCTCATTGCAGAGCAGCAGGGCTCCTGGGGCTGTGACACTGGAAGCGTGCCGTGTGTTACCCATCCAGATCAAAACACTTAATGGTGGTCACTGTCCTGGACACGTTTTAACAGGAGCAAACTAACGAGTGTGCAAGCTGGGGGTGTGGAGCTGGCTCTGAGCCCCGCTCCAAAACCAGCACCCGCCCGCTGGAGTGCAATCTGCTGCCTGACGGGATGTTCCCCTCCTCATGCGTCAAGACCTTAAGCCTTTCTTCTTTGACGCAGAGATTAAGGGCAATCCTGACAAATTCAAAAACAGATCAAGTGCAGTACTTCAGTGAGATGAACCACTGCCCTACAAATTACCCAGCTAGGCTGGACTCCTGGGCTGCTCGTGGGAATCTGTCCCCTCCAGTTTTGCAGGTTCAGCAGCAACTGGCAGCACATCTCCCTTTTCTGAACCCGTTCTGGCAGTGGAGGCTTCACATGAATTGCAAAAGCTGAGCTAATTGGCTACACACCAACCAGGTCAACACCATTTTTTAAACCATTATTACTGTACAGCTTCCAAGCACATGTACCTACAGACACATATCTGGGAACTGACAGCCTAGCAAGGCATTCATCTGGCTTCTGATTCTGCCTTCAAAAAGTGCTGTTTCCATGCACATTTGGGATAGGGTTAGCTGCTGAATTTCAGACCAAGCATCTCTGTCCCACAGTTCTTACCAATTTACTTTTCAAACAGCAATTCTGCCCAAAACATCCCTGCAATTTACAATCATGATGGGTGAATTAGAATAAGGTCATTATTTCATGCACAAACATCATTATTATTTTATGTAAAACAAGCAAATCATTATGAACATTTTCTTACTAACCACTATAGTATAGTGGTTATGTGTATATATACACATACATGTATACACACACACATACATTTATATGCATTCACATGGGATATGAATTTAGATGCCCTGCTTTTGGGCAGCAGATTTCCCCAGGCTCCTGGTAACAAACAACTGTGGCTTCCCTCTAGTGGCCAATTGTTATTTTTAAACACTAGTGATTAAAGTCTTGTCTGCCTCTCACTTTAAAAAGATAAATCAGCTTGTTTTATAAAAATATATATGAGTTTCCCTTTTGATAAAGTTTATGGTCATTGACTAATTATAATAGAACAGCAGAGGTGTATTCTTATTATAGCACCTGTTGGGAAAAGGACAGGAAGGAAAAATAATCTCAGCTAAATAAAAGTTCTTGCTGGCTAATTATTCAAGTTATGTAATACCTAAAAATTGTGGTTAGCTTATTAGAAAATAGCTATACTACTCCCTTGTAGGCAGTGTAACCAATTTTATTGTGTTTCCTCATTTGGTGTTTGTGTCTACAGGCCATCACACGGCCTAGCAAAGGACATTTGCTCTCTCCTTTCTAGAAATCAAACTATTCTTGTCCATGTCACCTTTTTTTTACATTCATCTGTCTTCTGACTTTTCCAGAAACTGCTGCAATTATCTGCCTTTTAATTTTTCCTCTCCTCAGTTTTATGCCTTAAGCTCTTCAGAAACATGGATTTTGGTATTCCACGTTTGGAGTCCTCCTTGTATAGGTTCTTCACCTGCTAAACAGTTTGTATGGCTCCCTTGTATCTTCTTTATCTCAACAGCTTGGAAAAAGCCCACTTTTCATAATATTGCTGGAACACCATTAGTCAAATTCCCAAACAAAGGGAAAAGGGTCTCTTCATCTGGCCTTGCCCTATACTTGCAGAAAGCAGGTGCTTTTGAGGAGTTGGTTTTAGCTTGCTTCAAAAAGTAAGGAATTTAAAGGAACTGCTTCGTGTGTTAGTTTGTCCAGCTGTCAAAGTACTTCCCCTACCCCAAACCTGAGAACTTCCTGGCAATTTCCAATGAGGTTTGACAGATGTTTCTAAGATTGGTGAGTCTTTCTAAGTCTCTTGAACCAATAACTGGATAAACAGGAAAAAATTCTCTGGAAGGAGAATGATGTGCTGTTTATCTATCATAAACTGTTTGTGAACAATAGATAGTGTGGTCTGCACCCAGTGAGCTGTGCTGCTCCAGACTAGCAAGGGCTCCTGCTGCCTCTGCTAATGTGGGTAAAATGGCTGCTTTTCTCTTTTCTTCCTTCAGGCCAGCTACCTTACTGGCTGTGTCTCACTCTTTCCAAGAAACCTCAAATACCTTTGTTCTTGTATTTTCTCTGTCTCAACAGTTTTTCACTTTCTCTTCTTACCATGCCAGACAGGCAAACTTTTCACGCCAGCACATCTGTAAGCTCTCTCTCACTACAGCACATATATTGCAGACCATCTACTTGGAATATGTCATTTAGAAAACTTAATTTGTCCCCTTAATTCTATGAAGTCCTGAAGTCCCTTAGATCTTTGCAAACACAAGGTATGGAGTGGGCTGCTATCCTCTGTCAGGAAAGATGCTGGGTTTTAAGGTCAAACCATACCTGTTTGGAGGACTTTTGACTGTGAAATGCAGCACCTCTGGAAGATACGTATCGAGTACAGCTTATAACTGAAGGTAAATGTAGTTCATTTCTTAATGCAGCATGAGACCTGGAAATGTTTAAGTTCAGCATCAGAATTAGACTGACTGAATTTTCCCTGTTTGAAGGCTCATGACTGAAACCCTGGGCATGCATATTCGTACAGCATGGCAGGCTCGGGACCAGGTATTTTTCCTCCTTATCACTTATATCCAAAATGTGATAGAAAGCCAGGCAGAATTAAATAAAATTTACAACAGTGGCTTAGATTTTTGACACAATACCATGAGGTTTTTCAGCTGACAGGGAAACCATACTACATTCTAAACTTCTGTATTTTACTCGAGCACCTCAGGGCAAGGGAAAACAGGTCAAAAGGCTGGCCAGGTCCCAATGACAGGAGCTGTCTCTTGCCCTGCCCCTCTCCAACCTAAACATATGCAAACCCATTACTTGTCAGATGGCTTCAATTTTATCCCACAGGGCTTCCCTGGGGAGACAAAGCCAGCGCTGCCACACTCACAGTTGGGCAAACTTCTCCAACTCCAAATAAAGGATCCATCCTTCAGATATTAAACGTGATCTGAATTTATCATCAGCTCATCTTCATGTTAGCACAGGAACTTTGTGTATATTTTTGCTGCCAAAATTCATAAGATCACAAGGACCACCATTTTCCTCCTTGCTTAGAGTCACAATGGATCACATCTACTGTCTGTCAAAGTTCTGCTGATGTGTATTTATCTTGACAGTTTGGTCTAAAGTTTCCACTTCTTGTGTACAAAGAGCCAGAGATCCCTTCAGAGACTAAAACATGATGGCCAGTTGGATTTATTTCCAGCCCAAGGGCATCATTTGGTGGTAGATTCCTACAAGTAGCACATTCCAGTAGTTATTTCCATCTTCCCATGGAACCAGTTGCTGCTTTTGCCAACTCTGTGAAAAATTCTTTCCTAAGGTAGAAGGGGGAAGACTGAGAGAGGGAGTGGGACAGAAACAAAGCAAAGGACAATTGCTTTTCAGAAATTATTTGAATCTCATCCTCTTTCTGCTTTTCTCCCCATTTCTTCTTTCAGAGAAGAAAACTCTTCCATACTGTAGACAATATTTCTTTATAATAATATATAACACTAACCTATTTCTATAGGTTCTGTTTTAAAATGGGCCAGACAACATACAAAGACAATTTGGTTCCCAAATATTTTGCCACTTGCCTCAGCTACATGAGGAAATTGTATTTTCCTAGGAACAATGCAAGAATAGATTACAAGAAAAATTACCATTGGGATATCCTCTTTAATTCCCTCTGGATTCATACAATCACTTCAGTGAGAATAAAACCAAAAGAAAATGTGTATCACTAAAAGGAAAATGTAGGAACTATATGTAGTAGTACACTTTGGGGAACATGCACAAATAACTTGTGTATCCAAAAATTGTTACCATATGAAATCTTTTTTTCCCAGCTAAGCCTAGGGAACTCAGACCCTTCTTTTCAGGAATTATTCTTTAATTGAAACATAAACAGCTGTATTTCATATTTCCCAGTCAATGCACATTGCTGGAAAAATCAACAGATACCTGTACAAAAAACCAGGCAGCCCAGTATCTGAAGATAGAAGTGTCAGATCTGAGACTGTGCAGATGACAGGAGCTGGAATATCCAGGAGTTTCCAATTACATATAGAAGGGCTGACAGAATGGCTTCTGATTCAGTGATAAGATTCCTCCTTCAAGCATCATCAACTTTTGGATTCATCTCCTGAAGCACCTGTATCTCTTGGAATCCATGGCTCTCCTGCAGTCTTCTATGCAGAACAGCTGCCCTCCTGCCCAGTCTGTTTCCATTCACACACAGAATAGATAAGATATGAAAAGAGCATTGCAATGGATTTTGTGCACTGTAAAATAAAATATTTAAAAATTCCTCACTTCATATACTGTTTAAAAACAGATGCCCAGAAATTTGTACGTCTGACAATTCCTTTAGGACACAAAATCCTTTTTTGGGATTCTATCTGAGGGCTCTTAATTTCAAATCAGCATTCTTACTTTCTCTTATTCACTCTTGCAGGTATGGAACATGACTTTAATTTTTTTTCTTTGCAGAAATATGACTAAATAAATAACAAAAGCATCTATGGAAGTAAAATGTAAATAGCAGGAAATTTCAACAGGAAATGGTCAGACAAATTTATATTTTTTTCAAATGGTACTTTATAAAGGTATGCAACTTTCTGTAAATAATTTGGTTGCATTAAAGGAAGTTCTGTAACGTCAAGGGAACAACCTCTGACGGACTTGTTTCATGCTGTTTTTCCACTTTGAATTCTTAACTACAGGATGAATCCGCTGTGATTTTTACTGCTAGTGTAAACAGAACAAACAGTGAAATTTTAAAATCACATTTATTTTTAATACAAAATCTGTTGCACTATTACAGAAGTGAGCCTGTATGTTTACCCCCACATGCACAGATAATTCAGCATCTACAATTAAATAAGAGCAAAATTATATTTCTCTTTTACCAAAAACGTTGGCAAATCCTGTTAAGAAATGTTCTCTTTGTGCTTTGTAATTAATGTTCATATAACTAATTTCATATTTCGGTTCCCATTAAGAAAACTGATCAATGGAAAACTCAAAGGTGTGAAAGAAGCTTATTACAGCTGGCTTACATTTGGGATTACTTCAGTTGTGCTTTACCTACAGTATATACATGAAAGCTGCGAGGTGTTTTATGGGCTAATGTAATGCACTGGCAAAAGCTCTGAGTGGTTCAATTAGGAATCTGCAGTAAATGAGCAGAACAGTTCACTACTCTGTTTTCACAGCAAAAAAAAAAAAAAAAGTAGATGCTTTAAAATACCATGCACACCATTGGCTATAGTACTTCTTACACAGTACAACATAAGCTTTCTTGGTTTGTTTGTCTGTAACACCTAGAAGCATATAGCATCTACGCTTTAAGTGTATTTACAAATTCAACAAAATATCTACATATAAAAAGCTTACTTAAAATTAAACTTGATGCAAGTTATGAAAAACCAATTTATTGGCAAATGAAACTGAGCATTCCTTCAACCATAGGTTGTTATAAAAATTTATATTTGGAGGTAAACATTTGATTGATATAGTATGCGATAAAATACTTTTTTAACCAATAAGGGTAATCCTTTACAAATAAACCATATTCACACTTGTCAGATTGAATCCCGTGGTTCCGAGCGGTAACCCCCACACTGCTTCAAGGTGTAGATAATTGCAAAGCTGCCACACTGCTCAGGCTGGGACACAGAGGGAAATGTGCTCTCGCCAGTGCAGTCAGCTGGCTTGGGTTTTTAACAATTTATTTTACAAGAGCTTATACCTTGCTGTGTTAGTAAATAATTTAACTCTGTTTGTGTTCTGGGGTGGTTTTTTTGGTTGTTTTTGTTTTTGTTGTAAATATTCTAAGGCCATGAAAACGTTGTGCTGTAACTGTGTAGAAAGCATTTATTTTATTTTAAAGGGGAAAAAAACACATGCTCTTCTTTGTGTAATTTAAAATATTTTAAACTTTCCATTTTTAGCACAACAATTTCATAACACGTTATTTTTTTTTACATTTTTCCTTTATTTGGCAATGACAGTAGTCCGCTAATCACAGTTTACTGCACCAACTGATTGAGTAGTGCAGCGCATTACGGAATGCATGTTGTAAAAAGGCACTGAATGTACTCTGCCCTGTGTCTTCTGGAATATTTTCTCTCATTTTCGAAGTTTTACTTTCAGTGACTGTACAAATTCCAAAATGCATTGCAATGCGTATCTTTTATGCCCTAAAATCAATTCAACGTGTTTTGATGTAAAAATAGAACACTGTACTGCTGTAATACTTGATAGATTAAAAAGGCTATAAAGTAATAGGAGCAAAGAGCAGATAATAGGGTCTCATTAAGCATCAGCAAATGCAAGTGTCATACTTAAATCATTTAGCGATTATATACTGTACATATTGTTCCTAACTGTCTTGCAAAAAGACATGATAGCTAGACATTAAGTCACCAATTTCACAACAATGTCCACAAAGACATTGAAGTTCTATATAATACTACTATAACACTTTGACAATGGGAATGAAATTCATATCCAGGGATTCAGCAGAGGACTGCGTAACAAATTGTCAAACCATGTTTTTATAGTGTAGACAAGATTACCTGTGAATTGTGTAGCTTTTCTTTTCCCATGCATTATACTGTATTTTCAACAAGAAACAAAATTACAAGTTGATATTATTGTTTGTGTCAGTTCCTTTGAAAAAAAGTAAAAATACCCAAGTTTTGAACAAAATTTGAATTTTGTATTTTGATTCATACTAACATACCATTTCCCGTGTCATTACGCTGTGTATTGACCTGCATATTCTCATAGCATTAACACCTGGTGGTGAGGAGCTCCATTACCTGCGTGTTCATAGTATGAGAAGGAAGATGTGCAAGTGCTTTAAACAAACTGAACATACAAGGGGATCGAGTTCTGTGGTTACACAAATGAATTCATGGCATTTACAGGAGAAGGAGCCTCAGAGCTTTCATTTCCTTCTGCAGGTTCTTTCTCTTTTTTCCCACTATATTGTCCAATAAAGGAGCCATCCTCATTGAACTGACCATTTACACCTTCTCCATAGTCAACTAAACTATCATCACTGTCTTCTTTTTTCACAGTTCTGTCTGAAGGTGTCCGGCTTCCTTTTTTTAGAGGTTTATGGTCCTCTGCATCACTGGAGACACAAACAAACAAACACGGAATTAACGGATGTATTATTTATTAAAACAAAGTCAGCCATGCATGCTGAGTTTATGAAAAGCATGTGTGCAGCCCAATAACCCTTTAGTAAACTCACATCACATTGTAGAGAAAAATCAATATGATGCAGTTCACATGAAAACATGGCATAGGAATGGTTTAAACAGAGAATGTCTTCAGTGGAGGGAGGGGGGGGGTTGTGGTTTGTTTTTTTTTGTCTCCCCATCGTGCATGACTTTTTCAATGATAAGACCTGGATCCTTGGCTTGGAAGCCACTCAGATGGAACTGCAAGCATTAAAAAGTGGGTTGTAAAGTTATAAAAAAAATAATTTGTTTGTTCTCCAAAGTAGCAAGCTTATGATGTGCCATGAAGTTAGTCTGTTAAACTTCTTAATTTCTTTGACTCCTTGAACATCAATGGAGAATGAATTTGGTTAAATGAAGTATACTGATTTTCTTTACTAGTATAAAGAAAATAAAAGTGCTGCATTTTGAAATAATTTGTTACATAATGCAGGCCAGACTTGCAACTTTCAACCTTACCTTTCAAGAGACCTACATATTCCATTAAAAGGGTGCAGAAGAAACAAATGAAAATAGCCTAAGAAGAAAAGCAAAGTCCATATCCTGATAGTGATCAGTATTTTATCAATAGTAAGTTGCTCTTAAAATTGTTAAAATATTTACTGTATTACAGATAAAGCAACAATTTAGCTTACAGTCTAGAACTGAGGAGTTGAGTGCATGCTTATTCTTTTTCCTTTCTTATCAGATCTACCTCTCTACCCTACTGCATAACTGATAACATTCTGACAGTGATTTGGAGGACAACAGAAAAAGGAAAGAAAGGTAGGGAGAAGAGATTTCTGTAGCAAAGTAACGTGGTCTTTCCTTGTCAATGGAAAAGCTGCAGCACCATCAGCATCCTCAAATAAATTTGCAGCTGTGGTAGGTTTGTATTTCATGAAATAGATGTAGTTGGGCTGTTTTCAGAATCCTTTACATTGCACTTCAGTTTCAAGATGAAGATTTCAGCAGCAGCTCCAAAGCATTTTGAATTAAAAACCACTACTGCCAGTTGCACTTTTGGGTCCCGTTATTTACCTTGTCTTAAACAGAATATGTGACTTTATTTGCATATAGTGTACAAAAAAAAAGTAAGTAGTTTGGGGTTTTTGTTTAGACTCACCACTTCTGGAAATATAAAGAAAAATGTATAAAATATCAAAGAAATGAAATTAAATTTTACAATTTCCAGAATATTAGATGCATATATACTCCACAAATTCTTTTAACCCTCTAATTCCTAAAAATCAGTACCTTAGTTCTTCAAATAAGCCATTTTCTTTTTTTCCTAATTAATATCTTTGAACACCCAGAGAAACCATATATATATATATATATATATATATACATCTGCAGAAACCATATATATTTATATGGATGTAATATATATGTTACATAGCATGTACAAAGTCACACAGATCGTATTGTTGCCTAACAAAAGCCTTGTTGAGAAACTATTGCTAGAAAACCATTACACCTATTTTCCATCAAGCTGCTTCTCCTTATCACCTTTTTTTGGCTTTAGAAGATCACATTCTAAAAGAAGGATGTCTCTAATGTGTATATACTTACAGAAAAAGCATACCAGAGATTTTATCATTCTGTGTATACATCAGAAAAGAAATGGTAGAAATATCTCTTTTATATACATGTAATGACACCTCCATGCTCAAAGCACACACAAAGGCAAGATGTCTGAACTTGACAGCATCAGGCTTGACTTTTTAGTTATTGGTGTGTACAAGCCACAAGGAAAAATATTGTGTGATTGATCTTCTGTGCTCGCTGGTGCTGCAAACATACAGGCCAGCAACATCTAAACAACTGTACTCCAAAATATCAAGAATCCAGCAGCAAAGTGAAACTGTTTATAACACTGTAAACACAAAGATTACAGAGACATTACTGAAGAGAGTTCATTTAGGACGGATGCTATATTTAAAAGGCTGAAAATGGAATTGAATATTTAATACTCACACAAAAAATCGTTTCCCCATTGCCCTCATCAAAGGGTATTAGGAGTTATTAAAACAGGCTATACAAGTCAAATGAAGACCAGACCCTCACTTTGAAATAGTAACCAGTCCTTCTCTCAAAGCAAATCTGCTTTCTGGGTAAGACTATTAAAGAAAAGACATTGATGTATGATTTGTTGTTTAATTTTAGGTCAATAACTTCATAATTATTACATCATAATATGCAGGAATGAAAATAAATTAAAACTGCATTTCTACCATATTTAAAATATGAATTATGAATTTCTGTGCAAATATTCTAAAGTATGACTCTATCCAGTGTGACCCCAGCCAGTGTAATTCACTAGGCTGAAATAGACATTAAATAAATAATACACCATTATTATATATACTGTATTAAAAGTACCCACATTTTTGTGTTTAATCCAATAAAAAGCTTGATTTTCCTTTATAATTTAGATAAATTTGAGTATGGGAACTTCTGCTTTGTGTTGCTCTTATAGTTTTCTTCTTTATATTTTTGCAAACAAAGTTTATTTATAAGGCAAACAATGAAGAAATACTTACACAGTTGTTTGCATTGTGTCTGTGATTTTTCTATATTTTAATAAGGATGTGGAATCTACTGTCTCTATAATTAAAACCTGCAGATTTACCCAGGAGTGTATCTGCATAGAGGTGGGTACTGCTCAGAGAGCACAGTCACAGCAGATGCAAAAATCAAATGTGAACCTGGGGATTTCTTTCCCTTGTTGCACTACACAAGTCCAGAGAGAGGTTTTGCCAAGACTCTGGCAAAAAACCAAGTGGAATTACCCAGGCTGCTTTCCGCTCCGCGTTCAGGAAAAGGAAACATATGCCATGGTACCATTTATTCTTTATCAAACTGTATTATGACTCCTGTATTAGATTAATACAATGTTTTGGGTGGAAAAAAAAGAAATTGAGGAAGAAAGAGGAAAAAATCCTAACAAACAGGAGAGGGAGAAAAAAGTGAAGACATCAATGTTTTGGACAGTACTTTTGTTACCCTGGGGGTGCAAAACAGAGAAGGCGCTCTGGTGCTCTGGGGAAACGAATGTATTACCTGTTTGCTGCCAAGAAACAAACTGCAAAGCTGCTGAATTGCATTATGAATATGGGTGCCCACATAGCTAAAGAACACTTTAGGCTGTAGAATATATAACATTATATTGCAAAAACATGTTAAAGCAATACATTTTGATTTGGTACCTTCAAGATTTGCCAATCTTGCTTAAAGTTGTTCATAAAACTATTCCAAAATGCAATCAGGATAAAAATAATTTCTTTTAGTTTCTGTTTGTGGTTTTTCTTGCTGATTTTTATACTTACCTAATGTAATATTGTGATATAAAAAATAAAGTGCAAATTGGGTTGACTAAAATTACAGTGGGAAACTGAAGAAGTTTTTGAAAAGTGTCACGTATGCAGTGCATACAATTAGTAGTGAGAAAACAAGACTGGAAGGGAACCAAACAAACAAGATGTCAGAATGGGTATGAATTCCATATTTAGATCAGACAGCCATGGAAGTTAAGTGTAGTGATACTTTTACTACTTTTTGTTGTATAAATAAATTCCATACTAGTAGCTTTTTAAGGATGAAAGTTTCTCAGTGAAGACTCATATGTACCAATCATTTTGATAAGTACTGACATGTACCACATACACTTCTTGCCCTTTTAGTAAAAACAGTATTTAATATTAAAGCATACTCTAAAAGCATGACTTAAATATTATTCATGAATCATTGCTAATATTTGAATACATGTTTCTTTTTCTTTTTATTGTAATGAACAATATCAAACTTGCATCTAATTGTTAAGAGAGATAAGAAGTACAAAGGTAACAATAATATAAGTGCAAAGTACAAATTTATTTTTTTTAAAAAGTACTTCCATTTCACAAGCTCACCAGTTATTGAGAGAAATATGTACCTTGAAATCTCCTTTCTTCTTTCAACTTTTCAATTTTTCTTCCTTAGATATGGGTACATGCAGCAACCAGTCAGAATGGGGAAGACAGTTTTACGATGCCTCTGCAGTCCAGCAGGCAACTAGTTCCCACTAAACTTTGCCACATTCATGGACATGCAAAAAGACTCAATATACAGTTAGCAATATACTACTTTTCCTTACAACATAACTGTCATATCAAAGGCAACAAAAACCAAACAAAATGGATAAAACATCCTGAGCTATGGAACGCAGAAAGAGGATGCAGATGAAAACTGTTGGCAGTAAATTCCTTTTTCTGTGCCCTCAGGTCAATAGCCCAGAAATGTTGCAGTATAAGCAGTCATGTAAAGCCACAGAAGTACCTTTCACTAGGGCTTCCCTGCACACTCCAGGGCAATCTCTGCCCTGATTTCTGCTCACACTTCTAACTTGTTAGGACTGTGCAGGTGACAAATGCTTGCCCTATAGACTTATGCACATGTATCAATCCAGATATCAAGCCATTTTAGTATTTCTTATTTAGCTAAGACTTAAGCACATCTATATTAGTCTTCTGAGTAGTTTTTCTTTAACATCTCTGTAATACTCAATCTTCAATCCTGGTAGAAGCTGGAAAAACTGGGAGGTTAAGCTCTAGTTTAAATGGCAATGTGTTGAAAAAAATGTTGTTAGTCAAAGAACCTGACTTGCTCCTTGTGAAAATTTTAAAGAAAAATTTGCTTGAGAGAAATTTAACCAACTTTCCACCCTTTCTATTTCTGGTAGAAAATTATACGAAGGGAAATCAAGTACTGATTTAAAAAGCAATCATACAGATACTCAATAATTAAAATAAGAACTGTCAAAGAAAGTACATGTGTGTAATTTAGAACACAGCAAGACTAGTGCCAAATCCAGTTGGACTATTAAGTTTTTCAGGCAGTCCACTGAGATAATCTCTTGTGCTAGAAGGGACCAAGCTTAGAATTACAGTGCTGAGGCACAAATCATGGCTAGGTCTCTTTGGAAACACACCCAAGCTGCACTAAAACTTAAGCACAAGAGAAAAAAATAGTTGTAGTTACAAACCATATTCTCATTGTTAATCAACCCAGAACAAGAAGGAAGAGTGATACATTATCTAGCAATCTCAAAACTCTCTGCCAGAAAGTCTCTTGTAGCATTTCCAAGAATTTCTAGGAAAGATACTGTGTGTGTCAAAATGTTGAAGAAAAGAGGCAAAATAATTCAAGAAAATGTGCAAACATCCTTTGTTACCACACTAGCAGTCCTACTATTGGAGTTGCCTTGTCCTGTTTTGTCTTCCTAAGAACATTCTGCAGACTGCTGCAATTTTGTCCTGCCCTTGTAGTTAACTAAAAAATGCAAGCTTCCAGTCTCATCCTACCTATAAACACATAGGTCTGTAGCTGTTATAACTGCTTAATTTCTCTCAATTTAGGGACCAGGAGGGAAATTAGGCTGATGTACAGACCTGAACAGGAGCTCTGTATAATCTTTTATTTTAATTTAAATAAATATATATCTATCTTACTTATTCTGCTTCTTGCAGTTGCTTGGTGTAAGCATTGACTGTCCACAATTTACTATCTCATTGCAGTTTGCTAGAGGCACTGTTTTCCCTTATTATGTGAAAGTGAAGGAATCCAGTCACAGGAACATAGTGTACACAGTCATTCCATGGTTCTTGAAACATCTGCATTTCCTAAACCATTATTTCCTTATTTAGTTTGATACGGTAGAAAAATCTGATGTTGGCTGGTCCTGCAGAAGGGATGCTCTTAGATGAAGTTGAGGAGTGCAAAACTTCAAACAAATCCAAGCCATCCGAAGACCACTGAGAAGCCTAGACATGGAATGTGAAAAAACCTCCCCTAAAATTAAGAGCTGTCATTTATCTAGAATGTATTAATTACTCATCGAGATCTAAGCAACTTAATAGTTTTAATTTTATTTTGAAACAACTAATTTTCTGAGGACTGGGCTTACTTGTTCAGAAATATTGAAACATTTCCATCTTTCACTCTTCTCAGTTCCTGAGAAAGCAGGAAGCAAGTCTGTGCTCTTAGAAAGTTCCTCTTGATGGTCTGGTGTCTCTCTGAGAGTGAGATGTCTTTTTGTACTTGGCATGGAATGACTGTGAGACCTTATACTTTCCCTTCCCTCCTTTGAACTTTGGAGGAGAACGCAAGGAGCTCAGACACTTGTGAGGATAAGAAAAGGAACAGCTTCCCACAGAGCTCTTTTTTTTCATCTGATGTAAGGAGCATTTGTGTTCTGAGAAATCCTTCATGATCTGGACTAAGGATTCACCAAATAGCTTGCCCCCTGTGTATGGCAAAGACAGCAGTTTACATTTTAGATCTAGCAATGAGGTCCAAGGACGCAGCCATATAGCTCTCCAGGCTACAGTGAGGCATGCCATATTTTTAACAGTGAGTCTAAGAGAATCCTCAGCTGCATCATGGATAAAATTAGCTGCAATTTTACATAGCCTGCGTTTCCTCTGCATGGTAGCAGATGGGAACCGTTTCTTTTTGAATTTGGCTTGTTCTTCCTCCAACCATATAAGTAAAGCCTTAGAAGCATAAGTGCAGTAGATAGATACTCCAAGCTGAGCTGCAACTAGCTTGAAAGATCTTTTAATTGCTTCCTCAATCTTTTTGTCAGTAGGATCTTTAGGGAGCGCATCTCTATTATCAGGCACTGACAGTACAGAATCACCAGTAACCAATGCTCTGTCTACCTCAGGCAAGGTCCCCCACAAAGCAGCTTTTTCCCCAGGAAAAGGATAGAGTTTACGTAGTACTGCTGGGACTTCATGCTTGGCCTCAGGATTACCCCAAATCCTGCAGACAAGATCTTCCACAGCTGAATGGATAGGAAGTGCATTATCTACCTTGCCTTCTTCAGAGGGGATCAGCAGTTCTTCTGAAGCACACTCAGATTTGGAAGATTTTAGCATTAACACCCTCTTTATGTGTTTGAACAGATAATTCTGATTCTCCATGTCAAATTTACGCAGAGGATCTGGTCCTTCTTTATCTTCTGTAGGGGACTCAGATGCCACTTCCCCATCTTCATGGGCTGACTCAACCTCCAAGGAGGCCTCGTCAAGCTCAGGTTTCTCCTTCCCAAAAGCTGTTTGATCTTTTAAGCTGTCCATACGGTCAGACTCAAAAGTCTGGGAACTGCTCCCAGATGCTTCTAAAGGAGCCACTGGAACTTCTGTAATTGGTACCCTGGGATGCTTTACTGAATGGGACCTAACCTGTGCCACAGATGTTATACTTTGTCTGGCTGCTGTCAAAGCATCCTTTAAGACAGTAGCTAGCTCAGGCACAATTACAGATTTCAATAGTGAATTCTTTTCAGATTCAGAGAAGTGAGGAGCAGTAGAAGGTCTTACCTTCTTGGGGCAGGAGCTCTCAGTGTCTTCTGAATCTGAGCTGCAGTCTGGGGTCTGGCTGCACCAGTGCTGGAGAGAAGAATGCTGCCTTGCCAGTGAGCCACCAACTGAGTTGCAGCTGAGGGGTTGCTGGAAAGGGGATGGCTGTCCTGCCTGAGAATCTGAGCCCTTCTCCGACCCCATTATCACTTGCTCAGAAGCATGATGTCTAGAGCCATGCCTGTACTTCCATTCGTCTGACCTCTTTTCCTCTTGGCAGAGGGAAGCAGAGACACAACTAACCCTTGTCAGCTCTGAAGACTGCCTAGCCCTCCTCCTGGTGTAGGAGGTCTCTGATCTGGTGCTGGAGTATTGATCCCCTGACCTTCTGAAGAAGTTGGATCTGTCAGATCTCACAGACTTTGCTTTGGTACAGACAGGGTCTGCTTCAGGAGAATTGGCACAGCTACCTTTTCTTTTCTTTTCCTTGTCCAGTTTCTTTCCTGTCCAAGCAGACATGGACCTGAAGTGATGAAAAAAGTTCAAAATACTCGAATTCCTAAATCTCTCAAAAATTACATTTTTTTTCAAGGGAAACCCTATACCCTTTGTCCTTAAAGAAGCACTGCATCATGTGAGGCAGACAAACTGGGAACTGAGTGACTGCAGTGATGCTGGGCTGCAGAGAGGGTGGCAAGATATCTTCTGTAATCTGACTGGTTGCTGCTGCTGCCCTGTCTCTAAGGAAAAAAGAGGAAAGCCCAATATAGACTAATTACACATAAATACATTTTAGAAGGAGTTTTAGCATGGTACATAGGACGAGCTCTTTTATGTTAACAAGTCTGAAAGCTTGGCATGCATCTACCCATATTCACCAGACATGATGTGGATAAATGCATTATAAAATAATTTATAAAGCTCTAGATGATTCTATAGACTAACTCAAGCCACTTAAATATGGAGGCATAAATTCAAATCTTGCTACAGATCCCACAAAGACTTCCATACTTATTCCAGGCCTGAGAAAAGATGTATTGAGGTCATATGATTTGTACAATTCTGTACAAAGGTCAATTTCTGCTGCTAGAAGTTCCAAGTATCAAAAACCAGTGGAGCAATAAAGGAGAATGAAAACTGGAATGCCCAGGAAAACTTAGACAGTACTTATTTACCTCTGCTTCCAAACATTGCTTCACACTTCTCTTTTTATCAGCTGAATTTAATTAATTCTTATGTACTAATGTACTGTAATAAAATACTATTCTGAACTCATTAATTTAAGAACAGAGTATTGTATTTTTTCAATCAAGGGAAAATAAACAGAAACTGCTCTTTGGCATTCAGAACTGTACATCTATTCCTGTTAGATCAAGATGTACATTTCCCTTCTATGAAGAAGCTATGGCAACAGTATAGATCCGTTTTGAAAAAAACCCTTTTTTTTTCAATGTACATTTGTAAATGTCAAATCTTAAAAATAATAAAGGGCTTCTATAATGCTTATGACACAGAAATGCACTACAAAATCTATTACATCACCCATGTAGAAGATAATGATATTGACCTATTTAGAAAATAATAACATTATTTTCTACACTAACCAAAAAACAACAAATAAAATGCTGCTTATTAAATAAGCTATACTCATAATCGTTACATGAACAGACTTGCCAAGGCATGCTTTTGGTAATGCCAGGAGATTTGGTTAGATTGCATTTACAATAAAGGAAGAGAATCAGGAATAGGAGCTGTGTTGCATGCTTTGAAGCTGCTTGCTATGTATCTTGTACTGAAAAACTGAAAGGGAGATTTGTTTTTTCTTGTAGGACATGCCTTCACCTCTATGTATAACATCACTTCATTGTTATTGGATTAGATGTTAGTACTGGCACCCATTTTAAATGTTTGTTTTCAAGTCAACTTAACAGTAGATTGTCTTTACTAGGCTTCAACTGGAAATTTATTTTCAAAAAACCATAATGCTAAATGTGCCCTAACAGAAAGGACACTGTATCTATTTGAACTATCTGAAAGCTGGCTTTGTAGATAAAGATTCCACACTTTAAGACAATTGTGTTTGAAACTGGATTTCACCCTGTACTAGCAGATCGCTTATACTAAGCTTGGATAACTTCTTTTCTAATTCTGCGGTTGAAATGCTATCTATAGTTCTATATAACACTGGATACAGAATCTCTGACACAGAAAAGTTAGTTTTGAATTAATAAGTGTGATACTATATACAGGACACGTGTGACATAACAGTGAACGTGACAAAGCACATCAGTTGCTCACCTGTATTCACCAAATGTTCCATCATCTTCTTTCATAGGTTGTATTTCTGGATCAGCATGTGCATCCTCCTTTTCCTTCACTAAAATATTTGAAATGGTAATATTTATCATGGAACTGCAAGATGAAAAACCCTAAGTCCTTAATTTCTCAAATTGATCACATTTGACAGGAACATAGTTGGAATAATTTTTTTAAATAGGACCTTAGGGTGTTACATTTTTTCTCTTGAAGAAAAAGATTTGTTAATTAGTTATAGAATTTTATTTTCATTCAAGTATAAAATACTGTGTGTCATTTTGCATTAGTAGAACATTTTCTTCCTTTCATTTCTAGAACTAAAGTTTTGTTAAAAATGCTACTATAATAATTTATTTACTTATATTATTATTAGAGCTATTGTTTATTGATATCTGAATAATTTAGTTTTACTTAACCACGATCTGTGTTTCCTCTTGATATTCGTCTCATACTGATTGATAAAACTGAATCAGATTCACTTGGGTTCACTGTCAGTTTGTACATTTTCTGCTTTCATTTCACACAATAAGACTCCAGGGAATTTTAAACAGTATTTTGAGAGTTATTAATAACGGAAAAAAACAGGCATGGTCTGTTAATTTCTTCTGTTCTATAACACGATCAAAAGCAAAGCAAAATCACCCACACTGGAACCTAAATTTAACACTATTGTATCTCTTGCAAATCCTTGGTTTATGTTTAGTCATTGTTCCCTGGTGAGAACAAATCCAGGCATATAACTTGTCCCTGTACAAAAATACATGTAGCACAGAAACTTTGATACAGAAACCCACTAGCACCTGAGAGGTCAGATGTTTACAGATGACACATATTCATCTAAATAATGATTGTTCATGGAGTAAAATAATATACTGACTTGAAGCATCATCTTTATGGTTCTTCCCTTTGCCTTTTCATTTCTGTTTCTCTGGCAACTACTCAAATCTTTCCCTTGCTTAGCAGATATGGTTATAAAACCCAGTATACAATATATTATCTTTTAATCTGGTAATTTCCATACTTAATTTTTATATCATTAATTTATATGCTGTTATTTAAGAGGATATGAATCACTCCTGATAATGTTTACTAAGTATATAATTGCAGTGAGGCATAACACCTGGGGATGTATCTGGCTGCTGTAATTTCATACTGAAGTAATTGATTGCTTTCTACAAACCATAGGAAATATCAAGATGACATGCTAAAATTATGATGAAAAAGAGTTCATAACTTTGATTTTCATAGATTTTCTTAACTCTGTGCTTCACATTTGTCACTACCTGTGGAACAGCACATTTGCAATGAGACAAGAAATAAAATTAGCTATAACGTCACTGCTATAAACACCAGTACATACTGAATCTGGAAATCTTACAAATCTCCAAGGTATACCTTTATATATGTGTGTGTATATGCATATGAAGCTGTGCATAAAAAAATGAATACCTTACAGCTAATAATTCTGCAGAAGCTGAGAAAAGAATGGCATATCAGGGATCCACAAAGTAATGCCAGCCTTAGCATCCAACTGCCTTCTACATTTTTACTCAAAAACTCTGTTTTGCCCTATTCTTGATGGTGGCTCATTTCAAGTCCTCCCTACTCTTTTTAGTTCCATCACTTCCCTTGCTTCAATCTTTGAATTTTCATTTTCTTTTCTCAGTTCTCTCCACTGAGAGTCACTTTTCCTATATCCTCAAAAATCTCATTTTCTTTTTAAATAATCCAAATATAAGGAAAAAAACCTAAGATGATGTCTTCAACCTGTCATATAATTTTACATAACACTGTTCCTTAATAATCTGTCTTTTCTTCATGGGCATAGGCAGTTGGAACAGAAGCTTCCCTTGCTTAATTCTTGCTGTTACTACAAATCTTTGCTCTCTCTATAAAACAATTTAACAGTTAGATTGGGCAGAGTAGGATTCTTGTATTTAATGAGGTGATTTTCTTATAAAAATAATCTGCTATGCTATGTTCAGCTATAAAAGATTCCCCTATGAAGAGGTAAAGTTCTTAGTGTTCACTAACACTAGTTTTCAGAAGTGCACTGGTCAAAACAAGCAGGAGAAATTAAAACAAAGCATGGATTTTTTTTTTGTACTTTTGTAAGTTCATCCCGCTTTTTCATGCCCAAATTTACAGTATCAGTTTCAAGAAGTTTGAGGTGACATCAGATAAACATTCTAGAGTCTGAATATTTATATAATTTCCAAACCTTTGGAGTCTGTAATATAGAACAGAATTTTTTCAGAAAGTCAAGATTTTACATGAAACTTAGCAACTGTACTTTCTACTGGAGCTAGGAGAGGAAAATGAAAAATCAAATTCTCATTTGGTGCTTTAAGAATTAATACAAACACAGGTAAACCCAGATGACCAAATCACGGCTAGGGTATTAAGGAAAAGTTTATTTCGAAGGTCTAAATCCTAAATACACTGCTAAATCGAGCAATGGGCAAAAGAGCAGCCCAGAAAATCCATTCCAGTGCTTTTATATAAACAGCTTTTGCATGCTCGTAACTTCAAGGCTGTGTTCCCCCTTGTGCTTTATGATCTCCCTCTGTCACAGCAGGGGCTTCAATCATGTCTGTGAGAACTTTTGCCTCTTCTTGCAACCAGAGAGTTAACTTCTCAAAACAGACAGCCAGAAAAATAGAGAAAGAGTTTCACGGGAAGGAGTTTTTTCCCACTCTGGGTTTTTCCCAGGCCTAGTTTTCCCAGCAGTTAAAACCTCCTTGAGCAAAACTCTTTTTCCTTCTCGAATAAATCCTCCGCGTTTAACTTTCTGTCCCTAGATGCTCACCTGAAGTTCGTTCATAGACACTCATCCCTCAACAGCTGCTCTGAGATCCTCTCTGATAACACTATGCAAACTGGTTCCCACTATCCTTTTCAAGAGAGCTTTAGTCTATGGACCTACTATATAAACAGAAATGTAAGACTGGAGAAAGATATGTATGGTACATATATGTACGAATACATACATACACATATACGGCTTCTATAATATGTACACCAGGAGGAATGAGAGTTTTGATAGGAGACGTACATTGTATACTTCCAATTTTTAATTAAACATTATAAAATATACTTGGCCATTCATAGACCTAATACTAAAAAAAACCCCTCCCCTTCTTATAAATAAAAAAATTATAGAAGAAAAAACAGCCTTACTGAAGGATGGTAACTTCATACTTAGCTGCAGAAATGCAGAGGCTGAAGACAACACAGATTCTGGGAAGGAACTGAAGGTATTTTGTATTTGAGACAAAATAACGAATGAAGAGATTTGTCCTGTGAAATACATTGCCCGTACTTTAAAGTACTGCAGTGGCCGTGATCAGGTGTATGTTTCCACACTTTCTGACCAAATAAATAAATCGCAATTCAGCTCATTTTAGTGGATTGACCCCATCTGCACTGTACTTCTGAAACTGGAATATGCAGGAGTGGTGGTATTTCAAACCTCTCTAGAGAGGTCATGCAGTAATACGACTCTCCAGGAATGAAGGAGGTACTTCTCTTATGCTTAAATAGATTGAGGTTTTCTACCATTATGCAGATTGCTCTTGCCAAGCCCACCACGTGATGACTGATTTGCCATATACACAGTGCAAATGTAACCCCGCAGCAAACGTAATTTTTCAGTAAACATGAAATCTGTCTTAATGGGTTACAAACAGCTGAATTTTACTGTCACTGTTAAACAGCATACCTGGATATTTGCCACCCTTATTCCTCCTTATGAAGCAAACAATCAGTAAAATCAAGATCAGAAGAGCAACAGCACACATAAGACCAATGAACCATCCTTGAGTAGCGATGTCTACCTGCCGGCTCGCCATTGCTAGAGGATAAAAGAAGAAAAATTAGATGTTTTGCTGCATTTAAATGCTATGCTAATTCAGATAAATAAAAGCCAGTATACAATGTTCATTAGGGAATAGCATTCACTGTGAAAAAAAACAGTATTAAGAAAGACAGTGAGTATTTTGTATTTTTATTACTCAAAATGTTTCCAAGTACATAGAACTTACTTTTGAGTATATAAGAATTCTGCCAACATTTAAGCTTAGTAACTACTTTGTGAAATCTGCACACACACTACATTGCTTTCCACAAACCTCAAAACTATTCTGAGCCATTTTACATGAATTAAACTACTGAAATGAAATAGCAAATTATAATTCACATAAACATGTCAATTGCGTTCTCAAAATGAATAAAAAGCCAATATTCATTAGCTAAGGCATTTCCATCAGTGTGAAATGGGGAAACAGATGGGTCATTCAAGGCCATAACATTCAATTTCAAATAAAAATTAAAAATGAAGCATCCTTTAAAACCTTATTCAACATCATGTTTTCTGCCTTTCCTCAAACCTCATCCTACTCTTCCTACAATTTATCATGATTGCCATGATTTAGGTTTAGTGAGGGCTCAACACGATGCAATCGGGAAGCCTTTCCTTGGCACTATTTCTCTCCAAATGCTGAGTCTAGATGGAAGATAATGTAAATGATAAGCAAACTGTACAGGAAACACTATAGTCACTAATAGTATCTGTGTGGTCTTGGGGTTGGATCTCTCCTACTGGTCTCAAATACTGTAGGAGGATTTTTCTGGTGAAGCTTATTTTCTACTCTGCCATTCAGAGACATGCCACAGGCAACTGGACTTAGGATTTGCTGTCTGGAGGAAGTGAGAAGGGTGAGAGGTGTTTGGGACGCTACAGAGAGAAGAAGATATGAAGTGGAGGAAGATGGACATCCATTCAAACCTACTGTGTTCATTCCTCACTTTCTTCTCCAGTCCTAAACCCCGAGTATGAAACTCTTTATGAAGAGTTGCCCAATAGACAGACTTCAAGCCCATGTCTCAGTGTTATTTCCTAGTTAAGAGAGAGGCTGAGACAGCTAGCTTGGAAAAGCAGTTTTCGATGGGCCCACATTCCTAAGGGTTTCCCAAGGACTCTATGAAAACTCAAAGTATTTCTGATGTCTGGATATAGTATCTCCTATCCATTCCATACAGAAGACCAATTGTGGAGATATGATGGGGAGGCTTCTCAGCCCTTGTTTAAGAATATATTTTCTGATATTTTAGAAACTCTTTTTTTAAATGCACAATAATTTAAACTATTTTTGCATGAAAATCTCTACAGGTTATATAAATATATCCCTTATATACATGTATATTTATACTTTATATACCACATATAAATATATATAAAATATATGTGGCAATTTTAAAAAACAAAATCACAAAGGCTATCTTCCTCTGAACTATAAATCAAAATAAGATAAAACTTTGTTATCACATTAGTGTTAAAATTATTTTGGGTTTTGCACATATGCATTCATAATAAGGCATTAAAGGTTGTATAATACATACTGCGACAAAAATGCAAAAGCACAATTCACATTCAAATGCAGTAAGAAATAGCATCAAGCAAAACAACTCGCATAAAAATATGCAAGATAGATGGGAAAGAGTAAAGATGAAAACTTATTTATGCAGATTTCTGTATTAACTTATTGCATATCCAGTAGGAAAGGGTTTCTAGATCTCTGTGCAACTTTTAAAATGGCACAACATTTCCTACTTATGCTAAGCAAATTATCTGCTTCAGGCAGAAAAACTTTGACTGTTGAACCACTAATGCAGGAGTCAATGCAGTACCCTGGACTGGGAATGCCCAAAAAGATAAATCTGCACACTGGGAAAATGCTCTGTAGGAATGCTTGTCAAAGAAAAAAATGTGGCAAAAGCCTCACATTTGAAATGTTGCAGTTTCATTTCTATTAAGAACATATTCCGTATTCCAGTACTTTCCTCTTTGTCCACTCCATTTTTGCAGTGTTTAAAAGCTTTGATTTAGGCTGATGACTGTGACACAAAATTTTTCTGTAAGACATAGATTATGTATATAATTTCATGCTGGACATTGAAACTTTCCATTATCAAGAAGCAGAAGAGATTGTGTTTAAATTCACTTTTTCCTTAACTATTCAAGGGCCTGAGTCAACATGACTAGGTAAGTACAGGATTCCTTGTCTATTGGCTCGGTATTTTTTATGCAGAAAGATGCTTTTGGGAAGGTTTCCATTCAGCTTGTTTTGGATTATATTATAGTCTTGATCCTTGTTTACTGCTGTTTTAGGCTTTGGATGTGTATTTGCATAAAATTTTACAGATATGCTTTTGTACCACTAGCTGTTTCTGGCTTTGCTTTTAGCTTGTACATATTTGCTTGGCACTGTTATTCAACACCATGTTTTCAAAGCTTTCCTGCAACACGATAAACTGTGAACAGAAATGGAACAAAACAAACCAACAAAACTATTTTAGAAAGTGCTCACTTTCAAACTGGCATATCCATTACCTATTTTGTTGTCTGATAATCATTACATAATGTTCAAGCATATTTTCATATTTAAATTACTTTGTTATAACATTCTGGAGTTGGTGAGACTACTGCTATATAACTATGCAGAGACCTAAATGCCTGGGATGAGCAGAAGTGGCTAGCAAAGACAGAAAATAATAGTAACAGCTGAACCAAGAACATGCTGTGATGGCAACAATGTATTTAGCATAACATCAAAAAACTTCCAATAAAGCCCTTTCTCTGAGTGAAATGGACAACCACTGTTGATTTGCTTATGAAGAAACAGGACGGCAATATGTACATAAGGAACTTAAACAGACTTACTGATTCCTAGGATATAGATATGGGATCAAAATCTATATAAAACCAGTATATGGCAGGAAAAGAAACATTTACAAGTAGGAATGTCTTAACACTGGTATAAATAGATCACATGAGACATCAAAATGAATCTGCACTGATTATGCAAATATTTTAGCTCTATTAAATGAGACATTACTTTAATACGGTCATTTAATTATATTAATTAGAAACATAAAAAATAGGTCATCTCCAATGCACAGCACACAGATGGACTGTGAGCAGCGCATATCTTGCCCCTAAGTATAAACATCAGTCAAGCAGAGTGAATTGAAAGGATGGACACATTCATAACCTGGCATTATTTAGGAGTTTATAAAATAACATTGCTCTATGAAAGGAACATGCAAAGATGCCATCTACAACATCTCTTAGCTAGAAGCACTTCAGCATTTCAACACCTGGTCTATCACGATTCTGACTATGATACAGAATTGGTACGGTGTGCCTCACCTGGACCTGTCTCAAACACATCCTCTGAACTCCTAAAACCAGACAGGCCCTCAGCACCAACCCGGACTTTATATGCTGTTCCTGGTGTTAAACCCTTTAAGACAAAGAAGCTTCGAGAACCATTTACAATTTCCTTTTTCCAATCTTCTTTGCCTACAAAAATTTTAGGAAAACAACATATTGGAATTTTAATTTTCTCTGTATTACTGAAAGTTTCTAGACAGAATACTATTGACAGTTACTTGACTAAACTATGGATCATCTGAAAAAAATAACTGTTCTCTCAAAAAATAATAAAATTATATAAAATTATGTCTAATAGATTGCATGCAATATATTGAAGAAGACATTGTACAGTAATTATGAAACTATTTTAAACATTTGTTCCATTGTACTAGAGAAATACTAACTTAATTTATTTTAAAATATTTATTGAACTTGTAATTATAAAATACATTAAAATAGATTTTAATCTCTAATTAAATAACACTTCTGCAGTTTCAGTCAATATTTCAGTCAATATTTGGTCAAGAAATTCTATTTCAAAATCTGAATCTGTTTCTCTCATATCTTCTTTCTAGTACAGTCTCATCTATTTCTCTGACTGATATCCAGAAAAATGCAATTATATCCCAGTTTTCAGATTATTCACCTTTACTGATAACTTCAGAAAGAAGGGGTATTTGAAAAGAAGTATCTTGCTTTTATTAGATAATTGTATTTTAATTACTACTGCTATTATCAAAGATATAAACTTGGTTTTATGCCAAAAAAAGTACATAAGTTGGTTGATATCTTCTTTTAAGTTCTAATTTAACAAAAAATATCTTATTTAATTCTTTTTTTTTTTTCTGAATTGGGCATAATTTAGGAAAACTGTTATGTCCTATTTTAATGCAGGTACTACTGTACCTGTAATGTAATACATTTACTCATGTAATCACTGCATGATAAACAACCTAACGCAAACTACATTTTTAGAAGTTCACATTCCAATGAATTTATAAAATAATACAAAGGAACAAAGGTTCACATTCTATCTAAGCATCAAACACCTGCTACACATTGATGTTTATTAAAATGAAAATTATTTGATCTTCTCGATCAAATTTAAAAAATCATTTTTCTAGACATTTAAGAGCTATCATTAACACTGGGTCAATTTAAGACCACATTTACTATAAAGATCTTCGAAAATACATCTGAACACTTCAGTAAATTTAATGGAACGACTTCTTACTGCCTGCTACACCATATTCAACATAAAAGTTCGCATGATCTGGTCCCTCATACTCCCAACTGATATTGGCATAGGTCTCAGCAGCAGCTGTTGTAACATTTCTGATCCTTGGATAAAGTGGTTGAACTGAATACACAATAGAAAAACAAAGAATATGCAATTGTGACTTCATACATTTAAAAAAAATATTCAAAGAAGTTGCTATGTTACTTTAGACTACATAAAGCATACATTTGTCATTGTTTCCATTACTGGAAATTAGTGACTGCAGTAGTGTATTTTGTACAGGCAATTACTACACTATGAAATTATAAAGTAAAATCTATGTACTCTACTGAGCACACCTTGTACCACAAAAACTGCCAAATACTTAAAAAATACCTGCTTAAATACTTCAAAAACTGCCAAAATTCTGCAAAACATTATTTCTATTCATCTGGAAGTAAAATGCAGACAGCTGTAAAGTGAGAACATTGTCAGGGTAATGGGAAATGGTAGGACAGAAGGGAGGTATGAAGGTGGTACACTTCTCCCTTTATGGCATGTGGCATTGAATGGACTGCAAATGCCCCAACTGCAAGCCTTTATAGGATTTTGTCTCTGTTTCATTGATAATGATAAAAAAGGAAGACAATACCCTTATAGAATGTTGGACGGACAGTGTGCATGACTGGGGAGGTTGCAAAAAGGATTTCTGAGTATCCTTCACCATCAGAGATAGAAGGAAAGAAAAAATAAAGAGTAAAAACACTTTACATCAAAACGTAACATTTAAATAATACCGTAAAACCTTACCTGTAAAATAAATAATACATGCACACTAAGATCATGCAAGATTCAATTAGTTTCGCTTGTTAAATATGGAACAGCTCAATGATACACATGTATTTGAAAACAAACTGACAGCTTTACTTTCACAGGACATTTCTGAAATCAGCTTTGTTAACATTATGGATTCATGGCACCTTTAGACACTGGAACACTAGACATCAGATATTGGAAAGCCAATATCAAAATACTCTGGTGTGAAGGACACAAACCACTGGAATGCAAGAAGCTGCTCATTGTAAGGTACTGTGTCTTACTGCTGACATTCTGGTTAGACAACAGCACTTTTCACAGACATGCATAATGCCCACATCTATGAAAAGAAGAGCTGCTCTCTTCAGCATTCTGTAATTAGCCACTTCTTTGCCCATATCTTAGTTCTTTACTTATACCTTAGCTCCACTTATGCCTGTTACAAATTGACATATATCTCAGTATCTCTGCTTGCCTAATATTAATGAAAAAATAGATTTTAAGAGTTCTAATGATGTAATAGTGCAGATACAAAGAGGATGCTTCACTAAGGCATGAAATTTGTTTTAAATGAAAATGCCTTACTTGGTTTGTCACTGACTTTTCTATCCTGCTAAAAATATATTTTCTGTTAGAAATAACATTAAAAATGCTTCCCAAAGGACCATGAAACATCAGAGGTAAAAACTTAGTCTCAGTAAAGATCAATGGCAGAATTCCAATGGCTTATCTACACAAGAAGAGGGCTGTACAGAATTTATCTATAAATTATTTTCTCCTTCAAACAGGATGGCTTTGTCCATATGGCCAATTGGAAAAAGTTTTGAGTTATATTCAGAGAAAATGGTTTACTTTGGCCCCTAGCACAGACTAAGTAATATGAGTGCCATGTCTAGAAAACTATAGTTTTTGAGTCTTTTTTTTAAAATAAATTATGCAAATTCCACCAATTCTCCTGAGAATGTGTTCTGATTATCACATGTTCTCACAATATGAGATTTTTTATCCCCATATTTGCATCAAATTTTTCTTCTTAACTCTATTCCAGTAGTACTCATTCAACAATTCAATCAGTTGTTGATTACTCCCCCATCTGATGTCTCTGTAGGTAAGTTGTGCTTATATATAATTTCTTTTACCAACCAAAATAATAAGGAATCTATTATTTAAATAAATGAATATATTTATTTCTTGGTTAAAATCAGCTGAACAAAATAAAATAGAAATCACTAGATTAAAAAGAAAAAAAGCCATCTAGTTTACTAAGACACCAACCCGAAGAAATACCAAAGCCAGAGCTGTCTGCAGGAAATCTAGTATGTAACCATATACACTATGCAAGGGGATTAGATTCTGTTTCTCTGTGCCACTTGAAGGCAGCAAGAGGAAAGAATAGCCATCTCTAAATTTAGGAGGGTGCAGAGTCTGAGATTGCAGACAGGATATATAAACTTCCTTCTTGATTTGCACGTAGGAACAGGTGCTTGTAACAATCAGCATCTAAGCATCTTTACTGTGCCAAGAAAACAACTGGTTTGTATTCTAAATATGACTTTGTTTTGTTTCATTAAATTGTATTTTCTCAAAGCCATATTTTCCTGGATTTTGGTCTTCCACAGAAGATGTCTAATTAGCATAACTATATGACTGATATCTGTCACTAATGTTAAAGACAGAAAAAACTGGCACACAGCTGCCACAGCATTATCCCTAACTTCTCCCTTCTCATGCCTGAGCACCTTTGGGATGAAGGAAACTGTCTCATCTTGTGTGAAAGACTCCAGATGACAGAGAGCTTCTGTAACACTAAGGAAATTCAATAATCACTCAATCTCATCTTTTTCCATGTCTGGTTTCCAGTTTCTACTCTGACTGAAGAGTTTCCTGCTAGATTAAAGTATCTGGTAAAATTCTTTCTGTTCATATGATTGCATGTAACAATCAAGTTGATTCCAAAAATTACCTTCATTTTCTTGGTGTCTTAGTTTCTAAATCCTCTCAAGTGACTGATTTATGGTTATATTTATCAGATGTACTCTTATCAGATTTCTACCAACAGCTGTTTGTATAGATTTATATATGTGTAGTATTTGGTCAGATTTAAATTCTGTTGTCTATAGAATATAGATTTATAGATTTATATATGTGTAGTATAGATTTATATATGTGTAGTATTTGGTCAGATTTAAATTCTGTTGTTTACTCCCTTTGAATACAGTGCACCAAGAAATTTTTTCAGTAGCACATTTCTTTTCAAAATTATTATTTTTGTAATTCTCTTCTTTTGCACTATTGCTTGATCTCATTTTCCATCAGGCCTGCAAAGTTTTACATGACTACACACATAATTAGATAAAAATGGCTGATGGATCCTTAGGTGATGAAAGCCTAGAGCTGAAGGGGTTACAACACTTAAAGTGTGTCTCTAATCCATCTCGACTTGTCTTCTCAATCACCACACCTCTAATTATAATTAACCTCTGAGTTTTTCAATATGTTTCCCAGCACTGTTCACAAATGCAAAATGTGTCATTATCAGTTGGCAGAAACTCTCAGCGTGTGTGAGTGCCAGTTGGTGACAAGGGGAGGAGGGGAGGAAGCTTTGTTTCAGGGAATGGCTCTCGGTGGCAGATCATTGTGTTCTTTCATATGTACCATGCACCATGTACAACGCTGTGCAGCAGTGCTGGCAAAGGCATCACTCTAAAAACTATGGGAATGGGCTGCCAGTAAGTTACAGTTTTTATACAGAATTACTCTTATTTGGCTACCTTTGTCAAATTAAGCTTTATTCCCACCTCAATACACTGCAACATTTAGCCAGTGCTGCTGAGTATGGTTTCATTCCTGTAGTGAGATGTAGTATAGAAGCATTTGCGAATTGTTGAGAAAGAGGCCTAAGCTCCAACTAAAATTTCCCTTTCTTTTCAAATTAATTCCAGTGCTTTTTTTACTGGAGTTTTTTGTAGAGTTTTGTTTAATTTTTCAGTCTTTCAGCAACACAGTTCCTACAAATAACAGTTAGACTTGGGCTGCAGAAACAGAATTTAATAAGACAGGACATGAGATCCGAAGGTATTTTAACAATGGAATAGGTACTCTTTCTCAAGATTTAGTCCAGAAGAACAACAAATCAAATAATCCCCAAGGTGACTAACTTTAGGAATTTTCATGGAATTCACCTGATATCCAGAAAAAAATTAGTTAAATGACAAGCAAAAATTTGAAGACTAGTGTCAAATGGAAAAGAACCCGCAAACCAATATAACATAGACAATTAGTTAAAATGCATATATAAAGCGAAAAGTAAATTTAAAGGGAAAAACTCACACCCACACACAAGAAAAGATTAAGAAAAAAGTAATAGATTCTGCCAGAGCCTGTCAAAGAGGGGTTTTGGTATTGTTTGCTTTTTTGACCTATAACATTCAAGCTTTAGAATTATGGTAGGAGTGAATTTCATTTCTGGCAGCGAGAGACAGGCATTAGTCACTTCTGAGATTATTTAGGCCAATTGCAAGAGCATTCCCATAGTGTGAGAAATACAGAAGCCAAATAAAAACCACTAGAAATCATTTCACTGATAAGCATTTAGCATGGCACGGATTTTGCATGACATCTACAAAGCAAAAGGTGTTTGAGTAATTTTTGCACTGTGATAATAATAATTTTCTCTCTAGTCTAGCATGCAAAGCATGAGCATTGTTCCCAGTAAACTTAAAAGAGGACAAAACAGTGGTTCTGCATAGCAAGCTGTACTGAAATCACATAGATACATATGGACAAGTCCACAGGGGTAGAGTGGCTGAAGGAGGAGTACAAAAATACTGCACTTAACCTGACTGAAAAAGCAGCTTGAAATTGTTAGAAAGAAATATGGAGAGATTATGTGAAATGATTCAAAGAGGGAGGGAAAGCAGATGGTGGACAGAGAAAATTATTTAAAGAACAGCATTTTGTATAGACAAAGAAAACAGACGATCCTGCCTTCTACAAAGAGATCAGAGATATGAACTCTGTTGAGACTCTAGTGAAAAGCTACATATTGGTGATTCAGCCAGAAGATCCAAAAAAATGGTTTCAAATCCAGAGGATAGACTACTTGTTTTTCTCCCTTGCAGCAAAAGGGAGTACTATTTGTCAATAATACTTAAGACGTGAAGTTCACATGAAGAAGGCAGACCAGACTGAGTACCACAGTGACAGGAAGCGCTTGCTACAATTAAAGGTTACTGTGATCTCACAAAGTTATTTTAATTGCAGTTGAAGACTACCAGTTACTAGTGCCTGTGTGCATGCAGATTACAAGACCTTGCTTTCAAATAAAAACGTTGACTAAATCAAAAAGAAACTAAGTTAAATGAGAAGGCTTGTGAAATGAAGCTGACATGCAATGCCATTACTCCTACACTTCAGCTTACAATAAACACACATTCCTGTGACTCGCTATTTTAACCAGTAACTTTCACTTCTATCACTGGTCAAATTGGTATTCCCTTCCTTCCTCTACAGACCAGTCCTTTAAAACTTCTAATGGAAAAGGGCAGAAAAGACTTGACTCCAGTGATCACCTGAGTCACTTTCCAGCTGCTACTATACTTATTTTATATGGAATTGGGTTATTCTCCAATTTTTTCATACCTCATGCCTGTGGTTAGTTGCCAATACATAAATAGCAATACCAATGCATACTGAGTATCTAGTACTGGGTATAATATATTATGTTTTACATATGAAGTTTTAAGACACATTTAGAATACAGATTATTAAGAAAAAAATTATTTTTTTCTTTGTAGTACCATAATTTGATCAAATTTAAGTAATTAATAACATTACAGTATCATAAAGGAAAAACAACAGTGCAAGTCAAACAGGATAGCTTTCCATCTAGCTAAATAACGTGTCTCATGATTTACACACGTGCACTTGTGACAATAAAAGTAGTGAGACTATTAAGATCCTTAGATTTACCGTAGCAATATTTTCCCCTGCACTTTAATATATAGTTTTACTCTGAGAAGTGAAATATGTCCCAAGTGGCACAGCTCACTCAGGTTTAAATTATTTTAATTCCTCTAGGACATTGTGCCTAATGTTTGTGACTGGCCAAGCTGCATGTCTTCAGGGGCAGCTATCCAGTAGAAAACACCAAGTGCAGAAATTTCAGTGCAATTTGGTCTGGCTGAAGCTGGGACCTACTGTCTTGTTAACTTCCAAGATAAATGTGCTCACATTGAAATAAAAAGCATACTTAAATTTTCCTAGTAAAAAATCAAAATCTTGAGATATTTTTGATAGATCATGAAAAGGTTCAGAATATCTAAATTTCACCTCCTCCTTGGTTTGGCTTTGCGTCCAAATTAGTAAGAACTGTATAGACGTATAGGCCCTCCTGCACTTTAATAGAGGAAGCAAAGTTCACTTCTGGGTACAGCTTCTTCTTGAGTGGGCTGAGCATTTCTATCTTCCAAATCCACCCACTCATGAGACCAAATAATTTGACACTTGATCTTGATACTATGATCCTCCTCTTTCTAACTGGTGGTCCCTGATCAGTAGTAAAACAGTTAACATGTTAACATAAGTAACCACTGAGAACATTAATCTCAGACCTGCAGCAACTCAGATGTCCTAACAGATGTCATGGCTTTAGTTCTGTTCCGTTTGCAGTTCCAACGTTTTCTTTGTAATTGTTAGAGCTAGATGCTACAGGAATATGGGAGAACTTTGAAACCATAAACAACATGGAACCAAACAAAGACATCTGCTTAGTTTTCAGAGGATCTGAGGCGACAGCTCTGAAATATGAGCTGCTCCAGCTTATCTTACAAGTAAGATGCTTTCTCCTAGCCACAGACTGTGGTACAGCTATAATTAGACCTCACTTTCACACAGAGAATCCATTTTTCCTTGCATGAGTTTTTAGAGTCAGCTATAAATAATGAGAACTTAATTTACATTTCTGCTGTGAATGTCCACGACTAAAGCCAGTTTGATTGTTCCAATCTGAGCTGACTTCTCAGCTACAACTAGACTAAAATAGCAAGGAAGATATGTCATTAAAATAATTCCACAACTCCACACACTTACCAGAAACACAGCTGATATTAGAATACACTTATATATACATATTAAAATATATATTAATTATATATGCACAAATACAGGCATATACACATATATATAGTCTGATTTATACCAGACTGAGAGAATGAATTTCTTTCTTAGGGCTGTTATCATTCACAACACCTGATAATCAACTGAAAAGAAACTATAGGTAAAACAATTTATGCTGTCTCTTCCAAGTTTGTAAAAAAATGTTGGGTATTTCATGTACAGATTTTGATTTGGGATGTTTGTAGTCTGGGAATTTGAAGCATTAGTGTTAATGACACCTGTGATTAAATGACATGTATAGAGACATGTTTCTGACTTTGAGCTACCTTACAGTTCTCAGGACAACCGTTGCTTCTGACAGCAAAGGTATCAAAATTCATAAAAACTGTGTGCAACACTGCATAATAAAGAACTAAATATTACTGAATTCAGGAAGAAGGATGATAATAGGTTCCACTCACTGAAATGTCCTCAAGTACTCACTCACAAGATCTGTGAATCTAAAACAGCAGGAAGACATTTGTCTGTATATTCAATCATAGAATCATAGAATCATAGAATCAGCCAGGTTGGAAGAGGCCTCCAAGATCATCAAGTCCAACCCTTGATCCACTACCACCATGGTTACTAGACCATGGCACTAAGTGTCACATCCAGTCTCTTTTTAAAAATCTCCAGGGACGAAGAATCCACTAAGAATTCCCTGGGCAGCCCATTCCAATGTCTGACCACCCTCTCTGTAAAGAAGTTCTTTCTAATATCCAACCTAAACCTCCCCTGGCACAACTTGAGACCATGCCCTCTTTTCTTGCTGATAGTTGCCTGGGAAAAGAGACCAACCCCCACCAATCTGACACCTGAACTATACAGAGAGTATTGTCAGTCATCTGTCTCTTATGCAGAGTTGGCTTGCAAATGACATAAATGTGATCAAATAATAGCATTAATCCACAGTGACAACAAGAATGAACCTATTTTTTAAAATAAAAAAATGTGCATGGCACAAGCAGCAAAAGGATCTCCTTTGCAAAAGTGCTGTTTTTTCTACTCTGGCTAATCAATGCTAGTGCACCTGGACCCTGAATATTTATGACAGTGACATACATCTGTTTAATGTTCAGAAATAATTAGATTTTGCTGAAGCGAAGCTAATGAATTCCCCTGGAACTCTGTGGCAAAATAAACAGATGAAAGGTATTAATAAGCATTCTGTGTTCCTTAAAAAAACCCAAGAAACCCAAACAAGAAAACCCTACAACTCTTTTCTTCCAGCACTGATTATACTTTGTATAAAAATCTGTAGTCCGAGATTTTCTGTCCTTACCACTGCAATTTCCCCATTTGCAACACTGCAAAATCCACACATTAATATATCATGCAGTTTCATTTTACCTTTGCCTGCAACTACAGCAGGATGGAGAATACCAGCTTTAATGGAGGGAAACAAGAATAGGAACACTATATAATTAGATACAACACCAAAGGGAACATACATATATAACTTCATAATAAAAACCATGCAGACTAGATAAAATGTATTAATTCAAATAAATTAGAAGCTAAACACTGACAGACTGCTACATGACAAAATTAATATACATGCATTTACAAAATTTTATTGCTCATGCTTGTTAAGATTCCATATTTAAAATAAATGCAGTTTAATGCAACCTTAACACACAGTATCAGAGAAATTGCACTGCATACCAACTCATCTATGATAACAAATGATATCTTTAACTAAGCATAAAAATATGTAAAAACATGCTACCGAAATAGACTTTTTATATTAAGCTGAGCAAAATAATAAAAAAATTCCGTGCAAATTTCCCAGTGGCTTTAAATTACTTTTATTTCATTAAGCTTTCATATTTAATTAAACAACTTCAACAAAAAAACCTGCCAAAATCAAAGCTCTAGAATGCCTGTAAATATAAAAATCAATAGTGATGGGATTTAACAATATACTTGGTAGTTTTTAAATACTATACAATGCCACCAGTTACTTGAGGCCATAGAAGACAAGTTTATTGCAACAGCTTTACAGTTTTTTGCCAGCTCTGTGAAAAAAATTTAGACTCCACAGAAGTTGTTGCATATCTCAAAAGCCAAAAAACTTCCTCTAGTTATAAAGCTGGATCATTTCTGTATTTTTCTCTGTGACCAAAGATGGTCAATGAAGCAGAACAGGTGAATAGACAAAGACCACAAAAAATGTAAAGTTATGTGGAAGTTGAAGCCCAGAAAAGTGAATGTCTTAGAGCTTGTGAGCTTATATCAAAAGAAGGGGCTTTACACCTCTTTTGGGGCTTCCACTTCAGTACAAAACCTTTGCATGTATTTTCTTAAAAACCATTTAACATATTTTATTAGTGCATAACACAGTTAAGAAAGCTCTAGGAAAAAAATCACTAGAGCCTATTTCCTTAGTGAAAGGAAGTAACAGCAGTATTTTTAATACAATATGTAATGTTTTTTTAAATGCAATGGATTTTCCTTATACATACCCATCTTACCTTCATCCATAATTGTTACTGCTTCCTCAGTTATCTGACTTCCTGATCCAACTGAAGTTTGTGCGTTAAAGTAAAACTTGTACCGTGTGCTGTAATTTAAATTTTTTAATATCAAGCTGCTCTCGTTGGCAGGAATTCTTATCTCTACCAAGGGACCCAATTCATGTGTGTTGTTGACTGTTGTTACCAGAAAAAGAAAAAAAAAGTTAGGAAAGTTGCGCATATTGTCATTGTGTTAAAAAAGGCTTTTTTTGGTTTGCATATGTAAAGAGTCTCCTTTGTGTAAAAAGGATCAGTTCAAGGGGCCAAAATTAACAGGGAGATAATTAACAGAGAGATTAACAGGCACTTAAAAAACGTGCCAGTTTTTAAAGTTCAAGTTCCATTCTCATAAATATCTAAATCCAAGGCAACTGAGTTCACATCAGATCATCAGAACTTACACAGAGTTGAAACACTGATCATTAAAGAATTCTGATACTCTAAATTCCTGTAGAAGAAGAAAATACTGAAGTGACTTGTGTCAAACACCAAAGAATAGTGTAATTTGGTAAGTGGAAGAAAGTAAACTTCCTTAATCTGTTCCATGCACACAAAACTCTTAAATTTCCACTGTCACTGCTGACAAATTTCTGGGTTAAGTAAGCAGCTGGGATCCTAAAGAAGTGATTTAATAGCTCTGATATTAGTAAATGGCACATTTATTAGTTTTGCATTTTAAAATTACAATACCATGACAATTGAAACAACAGAAGACAATGTATTTGGACGTCTTTTGATCTGTTTCTGATGATAATTTCTGTGCAGTTAGAATATAGAATTTGTAAGTAGTAGTATCTTGCGTCTAACTTGGATGCCACTTGTATGTAGGACTTCACCTCCATTTTTCTGTGAAGTATGATTTGAAGAAATAAAAGAAAAATGCTAACCTTGTACTTGAGTAAGGAAAGTTTTCCAAATACAACTATCTATATTATCAAAATATATTAATTTTTTTTCAAACTTGACATCTACAATGCAATCATGTCTTTTTTACATTATATATTAACATAATTTATTATATTAACATAATTTTTTCTTCATAAACGGATTACTATTTGGTAGATGTATTGCCTAAGTTACAGTTATATCACAGAATGGTTTGGGTTGAAAAGGACCTTAAAGATCACCCAGGTCCAACTCCCATAATATATTCACAATTAACTTACTTGGCTGAAACTTCAGTATATATGATGTCAAAACACCATTTGGATGGGTAGGTGAACCCCACTCCAGAGTCAGAGAGTCCAATGTTGGGTTAGTAATCTTCAAATAGGAGGGCGAGCTAGGAACTTTTAAGAAGAACATACAGTAAATACAAAGTAGATTAACTTTAAACAGGTCACGAATAATTAAGTCTTAATAATATTACTGTATTGAGACAGATTATTATTTTATGATATCCAAGCTTATGTTTCAGTTTATTCTCTAGCTTTCTCATTTCATACCTCCTTCAGGGGTCTTAAATACTTTGTCTGGGCTTGCTGGTCCTTCTCCTTTACCATTAACAACTCTAACGTTCAGCTTGTAAGAACTATAGGGCTCCAGCCCTGGTAACATTCCAAAAGTCTTGTTTCCCCTGAAAGTCAAGATCTTTTTTTCTACATGCCGCCTACTCCTTCTGGATAGACTCTGCACTTTCCAGTAGTAAACCTAAAGACAAAAAAAAAAATCTACAATGAGTGCTTAGGTGTTATGATTTTCCTTCAAGGACAATGCCACAGGCACCTAGTGCTACAAGGCTGGAACATTGCTGAACTATATATGAATTGCATCAAAGCTGTTGCTCTTATCAGCAAAACTTGGAGCTCACTGAAGAGTCCTCTTATATATCAGGTACTTCAATCTGAATACAATCTCATATAGGAAGAATGTTCTATTTTAACAAATGAAAAAGAGAATGCTTTAGACTGTACTTACTTTGTACCCTTGGAGGTGTCCTCGGACAGTTTTTAGTGGAACTGGGTCCCAATGCACCTTTGCTAATGTGCTGTTAATAACATGAACCTGCACATTGCCTGGAGCAACCATCGGCACTGTGTGGAAAGGATGCAACAAGCACCCAGTTAGAATGAGAAACCACACGAACATATTTTTTCAAACCGAGTCTTTGTATTGTACTCAAAGAATAGATTAAAATGTTCCTATGTTTTCAGGATTAATAATACAGAGTATTATGAAGCCTTATTATCTCCAAATTACTTCCTTTTAATTAAAATAATAACCACTATTCCCTTATCAGTATTTCAGTATGTTAAATACCCATTTAGGTTACACATTTAGTTCTTTTATATTAGTATAACTGAGTCAAACCACAAAACTTACAGTCTTCCCCTGAATGTCCAATCACCTCTGATGGCTCTGGTGCATATCCCAGGTCATTTAAAGCTTGTACTTTTATTTCATAGGGAACAAAAGTTGGTGTACCAGACACAATATATTTAGATACATTTGCAACTATAACAGATGTCCATTCATCATCAACATCCTTCTGGCGCCAACTGACTTTGTACTGAAGTCCCGGTCCATTAGACTGAAAACCTTTTAAAGACTGAAATGAAAAGAAACATCTTTTTAAATATTCTGAAGCATCTGAAAAATCCAAAGTCAAAAAGGAAATATACTGATTTTTTCTTTAGAATTTCACTGAAAATTTACCGCTGTGTTCTGTGACAAAGAAGCACTACTGAAATTTCCAAGTTATGCAATTTAGTTTTTACCAGAGGTCACTTCAGTTGCTTTTCACTATTTAATAAAAATCACACTGAATGGTGATGGTGGCTAATTCTCACTCAACAAGACATTGCGATTTCTGTATATACGTTTTGATTTCAAATATTTCTTTAGAAGTGGAAGAGGAAAAAGCAGACTTATACTGACTCCCTATAAACAGTGTTCCCTAGACAATATTTCTTGCCTGGGATGGGAAACTGAGTTTATATGGCTCTGCTTGAGTTCCCATCATGACGGTAAAGGCACGATAGAGAAAACTTTGATTGAAGTTTTTTACTGTGAAAGTGCATAATGATTTAGTTCATCACAAAAGATGACAGTACAAGTAGGATTCACATTAAAAATTATTCTAAAAATAAGACTCTACTTGAGACAAACCTCAATTTACATCTTTAAGTCTTTCTAAACTGGCAGCAAAACATCCTGTATTACCTAATTATTGGCTTATCTTGAGAAATCACTCAGGAAAATATGGCCCCTTAACTAATTCGTTTTTTCTCAAAAAGCACTCAGCTTTTTCCTGGAAATGAAGACAGGGAAATATCTGAATTTAACTCTTTTTCAAGAATATTTTAACTAAGCAATGTATAGGGTATTCTCATCATTATTTCTCAAAAAATGCTACTCACAGACCTGAAAACAAATGAAACCTCAAAAAGAGATCCAACTTACCTCCCATGTTATTACCAAATTATCAGGTTCTGAGCCTATCCCTTGCACATTAGCAGGATTTTCATCAGGGCCTAAAAATAAAATATTTACATGTGAACAAGAATGACTGCTGTTTGATTCCAAGCAAATTCAATGCTATTCATTGTAGAAATCAATTACTGGTAAGAAGAAATACTTATTTACTTGCAGATTTTGTCAGGTACTGCTCAGATGGTTCACTGGGCTGACTTCTGCCAATCTTATTGACAGCTACCACACGGAATGAGTAGTTGACGTACGGAGACAACTTCAACTGTACTGTTGTCTGAGTTCCAGGAACTTCCGTCTGGTAATGCCATACTCCTGGTTCATGCAGCCCATCTTCATACTCAATTACAAAGTCTACAAACAGAAATTGAATCCAACTTTATGTCAAAACTTGCAACACCTTCCTAGACCAGGGTAGGCATTTCTGAATGAGCTGATCAGAAGGGAGTGCTCTAAACAATGCTTTTAAATATTGTGGAACTGGAAATAAATACATAAACCATAACGCAGATCTGTAATACCAGAAGTACTGCTTAGGTCATCATGGCTGGGCTTCGCGAACGAAGATTTGAGGAGGGCTCTACGCACCTTTGTTACAAGCGCGCTGGTGGCTAAAAAGGTCAATACAAGACAGGCACGTCCGGTTGCAAAAGGCACAGCACTGCTTAGGTAGAAATACAGTAAACACACCCTCACTTTTATCTTTTGGTATTCTCACTAACGCAGGTACCTTTCAGGTAACATGTTATTACAAGAGCTCTCTCTCTAGTACCAAATTTTAATTTAATGGGAACCCTTGAACTATCACAGCACGAAAGAGGGACAAGATTGGAACTTTGATGTAAATTTGGCTGTCAAATATATTGTTCCTAGTTGTATCAAGCAGACAGTATCTAGTACCTGTACAAAATTAATACTCTGAATATTCCATTTTCCCCAATGAAGTTGGCTTAATGAAGAACTATTTAAAGCCAAGAATCAATACTTTAGATGGTTTTTGAGAGCACTTTTCAGTATCTTCAAATTAAGTCTGGGAATGTATGTTCAGAATCAGTTTCTTGAGTTTTCTGTGAGAACATTACAATGATTACTATTAAGACCCTACAAAGTATATAACCTCAGGGATAGATAGGCTTGTAGAGTTCCAAAAAGAAAATCACATTCATTATCAAAGACAAAAGGATGTATTTTTCCAGCTGTGAAACACCCAAAAAACCTTACTGCTCTAAGGTATGAGATATGAATTATGAAAGACTTAGGAGGAATTGTTAGGACACAGTAAATAAATGGGACAAGAATGCACAGTCTGAGTACATTCTATGGAACTTTAAGTTTAGATATATGAAATTTACATAAGCATCAAATATTTGTGTGTTGTGTAACAAGAATCATTCCCTATCTCATGTATAGGTGGAGACAAGAAGACAGAGTATGATTCAGAATACATCCTGTTTGCACTACTAATAAATTCTGATGGGCATCTAGAAATTTCTTTTAGAAGGATACTTACAGCACCACATAGAAATAATTTGCAAGAGTTTGAGGAGCCAAGATGTAAAATAGATAACTAGTACTAATCATAACCTTCTGGCCTTAGGGCTAGCAGATTTCCTTCTGGCCTAAGTAGTAAGAACGAAAAAGAACTGACCCCAAATTACTGTCTGAATTACTGCTGGTGGTGTGTGCTCGGCAATAAAGGTTTTGGGATGGGAGGTCTTCTGGACCAAAGCTTTGCCGAAAAGGTGAGAATATTACATGCTAAAAAAGTTTTGATTACTGCTATTTGCTTCCCTAGTAATTAGCATTCTGTCTGCAACTCTAGTAGAACAATTTATAGGCAACTTTAAGGGAAAAAAATCTATCTGAGCTTTCAGAAAGATTCTACCATGTCAATCATATTACTTGTGTAAAGGGATCACTGGTAATGAAGTGGTATCCTTGAGTCCTGATCTGCACTTTGAAGTGATAGCAGCAGCAGGAAAAATAGGCTTACTCAGGAAGAAAATGCCTTACTTTTCAGGCTCTAAGGGGACCATGCAGCAATATAAATTGCATTATAATTAAAACCAGCATTATTTAGTCAGAGGAGCTCAGTTTCTGATATCAGAGTGCATGCAATATCTCACTCTAGAAAAACTTACACAAGCCAACACCTCTTAGTATTATCTTTTTTCATACACTGTGATCTCATTCCTACAGAAAGACAAGACTTGTGTATTCTGGTCTAGAAATAAAACGAAAATACTAATAAAAGAGCATATGAATAAACCATAACCTAAATAAAATTTAACTATTTACATTAATCTTCTATATATTTTTTAAAGTATATTATTAGTTGATATACATTAGAGAAGTCCGAGAGTGTAAAATTTCAGCAAAATCACTTGGTGTTTCATTAAAATGCAGTCAAAATCTTTGATGTGCTCTGAAATTTGTGAAATTCTGTTTTTTATAAAACTTCCTTTACAAATACCTGATCCTAATGGTTTGTGTTCTGTGTTGATAACAACCAACATCAGATGTTGCAGAGCAACGCCCAGTAAATCAGCCTAACTAACTCATACCAAACATAACATGTACACTGGTCTTGATAACTTGTGGCAGTTACTATCTAAAAAGACACTGCACAAATAAATAATTGCATTAAGTTCCTCATGGGGAAAAAGTTACCCCAGCAAATCTTTCTGATCATATGATTTTTTGGAAAACAAACAGTAACATCTTTGTTCCTTCCTCCTAAATTCCCCCTCCATCCTCTCTGCTCAGTGTAAGCAAGAACGTCTTTCATCATGTTTTACTGGGAAGAGTAACAGCATTTAAGATCAATTTCTGTGTCAAAAACTTATAGACATTTATTTTTCTGTTGCATGGACATGCTTTACTCTTTAACTGTCTGGACTAGAAAAAGAAAGAAAAAGAGAAAAACTATCTGCCTTATATTTTCATGTAGAATAAGCTTCTGTATCAGTAGTGATGGATAATCCCTAAAGATAGTGGTACTGATGCTATTTCAAATTCCCGGGAATTACACAGGAGTTAATGCAAGATGGTAGTAGCTCTCTCCTTCAAGGGCACACAACCAATAAAAAAAGTCTACTCTCTACATATTCATGAGACTGGACCTTGTCAGACAGACCTCATATATGCATTAACTTCTATGTTATCTAGTACAGGTTTTTTGAATAAAAAGGCCCAGCTTTTTTGGGCAGTAAATAAGTCTTTCTGCTTGGCTGTACAGTAGAGGATATTAAGTGACTTTTTGTAATGTAATTAAATGGCAGCTGCAGAGAATTCATTTAACATTTTCCATGCTTCACACAAAATTTATCTCAGAAATCTTTGGAATTTGAAAACAGTTAAGATACTGCTGTCAATGTAGTATAGTCGATACAAACAAACATACGTGTAATGGGACTGTTGTTTTCATCTCCTGGTATCCATGAAAGTTCAATGCTTCTTTCTAGCTGACCTGTCAATTCCAAGTCAAAGGGTGGATTTGGCCGAGCTATAAATCAAATGGACACAAAGTAAATAATCACATCAGAATATGTAGTTTTATATTTTAAAAAAATCCTTACAGTCCAATCAAAAGAATTCCACAAATACAGCAGTGCATATCTACTCACTTATGTAAGTGGGACTTAATGACCATTAGCATGCAATTGTTAGAAAACAAATGAAAAAGGGAGAACTGATGTAACCTGAAAACTTCTATACATTAACAAGAATCTGTATTTATTTTTACCTATGTCTGAGTGCACTTTGATAAAAATGTGATGAGATGCAAGGAATTGTGAAATGCATGTTTAGTTTATCTTTGAATGATTATGGGTGGTTACCTAGTGTAGTAGAAATATCTAACAAAACATGGAAAATAAAGAAGTATTCACATCAAAGAAGCTTTTCTAGAAGCACTACAAACATTTTTTTGTGTGAATTCAATCAAGAATAATTCAAATAGAAACTAATTGCAAGTTACTGACTCATTTTTTTTTGCTGTTCTTTTAAAAGTCCAGACATACCATGCAATCTGTTACTATGCATCCTTATAATGCATAAAGATGTAACTGTCCATTCCAAATTTCCAAAGGTAATTCATTATACGATTTTTTACACAAAAATCAAGACTAATGAGTAGGTTCATTTAAGAATACATAAGCATTTTCATTGAATGTGATAAGATTTACATAAAAGTGCTTATGACCCTTATACCTTAAAGTGTTTTAGCATTTGCACTTGAAAACCTAAATTCAGAAAACATGCTATAAAATTAAAGGCTTTATACCATCAAATTCAAGACTGTATCTGACTGACAGATTTTTTTTTTAATTTCAACTTTATTTTTAAAATCTTAGCAATTTCATTGATTGTAAGACAAACTGGTCAATATGGTCATATTCATCTTATGAGTGGATTTACCCATGAGAAAAACATTGTCATACTATAACCAACTTTAATTATAAATAATTTATTTCTGAAAACCACTTATTCCCTAAAATACAAAGCAACCTGCACTGTAAAATTCCAAAGTCCAGTACTCTAGTAATGAAGCAGTTGGTAAAACGGGATGAAACCACACAAACAGACACAGACACACACAGAGGAAAAGGGGAAAAAAATGTTGCACTTCGCAGTAGGCAAATCAGAAATATATCTGTCAGACGATGTAGATAGAGAACTTGGTATTAGTTTACCGTAAATGATAGCTGGAGTTGGGGGAGCAGCTGAAAAGGACATTAATATAAAGGATTTAATCAGTTAGTAGCCAAAGAAACAGAATACTGTAGGTAGTTAAAGACTACAGTTATTAGAGACAAAGAAAAGTTAACTTATTTAGATAAATGGTTATTTTAAAATAATGCATTGATAATTTTTCACTGAAAAGCTATAAAACTATTCTTGAATGTTTTATTCATTTTTTAAAGAAGGATAGATAAAAAATAAATAAGTAAGCAATCTTATAAAAACTTTTAAATAAGTACTAGTTGCTTGGCTTAGATCATTCCTAGATAGGCATAAGATCACAGAAGAAATTTAAAACACAAACATACTTGACTTTGAGTCTCAGCTTGAACTCAGGTACGAATCGTTCAGCACATCTACTTAAAACTTTCTTACAAATTGGAGAAGGTGCAAAGTAATATATTCTGCAATAATCTCAAATCATAAAAACTTAACAGAGAACTAAGGTAAAAATGAAATCCTTGGGAAGTCATACAACCAAGTATACTTAGTCCTTCTGAACTATAATTTAGTTGTGAAAGAGATTTCTGAGATAACATGCTCCCAATTCAAGAAAGACATGGAGCTGTTGGAATGAGTCCAGAGGGGAGACAGTAAGTTGATTATGGGCTGGAGCACCTCTCCCATGAAAGCAGGCTGAGAGAGTTGGGGCTGTTCAGCCTGGAGAAAAGAAGGCAGACTCCCAGTACGTAAAGGGGGCTACAAGAGAGCTGGAGAGGGACTTTGCACAAGGGTCTATAGCAACAGGACAACAGGCCTATAGCAACAGGACAGCTCCCTGGCTGAAGGAGAGTGAGTTTAGATTAGGTATTAGTAAGAATTTTTTCCTGTGAGCGTGGTGAGACACTGGAACAGGTTGCCCAGAGAGGTTCTGTGGAAGGTGTCCCTGCGCAAGGCAGGGGTGTTGGAACTAGATGATCTTTAAGGTCCCTTCCAACCCAAACCATTCTGCGATTCTTATATGTTTATGAACAAATACTCTGCTAGCTAAAATGTGGTCAAAATAAAAACCTATACAGTGCGAAAGCAAATGTGCCCTGCAATTACTGGACCCTTTTGTAAATAGCTGATTCAAAGGCAAACTTTAGGGTAAGAATACATTTTTTAAAAGCTGAAACGTGTTTACACATAGGTGGCATTTCCTTTGCCCTGACCTAGAAATCAAAACTATGCGCTTTTCACTTTAAATCTAATGCTGTTTTTAATACTTAACAGTAATTAAACACAGTTCTGCTATCATAAAGTTTGAGAGTATTCTTACCAACAACAGTAAGCACAGCACTTGCTGAAACACTGTCCAGAGTAGTATTAACTATGCAAGTGTATGTTCCATCATCTTTATCAGTTACATTCATAATGGTCAAGTTGTCTTTACCAACTAGAAACCTGTAAATACAATAGATTCAGCCACTGATTTTTCAATAACTGGCAGTGTTATAATAAACTTGCATAAGACATTATCTGATCCCATATGTGTGTACCGCAGCACACACCTAAACAGCAAGGTAAGCTAAGGGACAATGTAACCTTTCATTTTCTGCATTGCTCTTGACCATTTTCCCACAGTAACTGTCTATCCTGATGTGCTTTTCTTTCCAAATATACTCAAACAACTTTTAAATATATGTGATCTAGAGCAAAATAGTCTTCCATTATCTGTTTTGACTTCTTATATCAATTCTCTTCTCCTTACACTTAATATACATGGACAGTGAGCACATTTTTATAAATGATTAAATCTCATTTTATTTTTAATTCTATCTTAATATTTTCATCACACTAGGTAAGTCCTTGAGTCAGCAAATATGATATTTATCAGTTATGATATTTATCAGTCTTCCTTGGAAAATGTCAATAGGTCAATATGTTCCATTCAGAGATCAGGAAAAGAAGCAGACAAAAGGACCACCTAGAAAATAAAAAATAAAGGAAAACTATTTGGTCCATACCTTTCATCATCTGGAAGTTCATCATTGTCCTTCAACCATATAACTGTTGGTAGTAAGGTAGAATCATGTTTTATTATACACTCAAATGAAACTTGGCCATATCTCTGAACCACTTTGTATTCTGGCTGTTTAATTATCATTGTTGGATCTGAAATTTAGAATTAATATTAGATATTCAGAAAGTCTGAAATTCTGTACTAATCAGTGATGAATGAATGATTAATTTCTTACCTTTAATTTCCAAGTGCACCTCATTTTGTATCTTTCCTAATTCATTCCTTGCTACACATGTGTATGTACCAGTACTATCTTTCTGAGCCACCGGAATTTCCAAGGTTCCATTATCATGGAAAACGTATTCATTTCCACGCAAGATGCTACCTTTCACTCCCTTAAACCTTTATGTAAAAAGTAATATCATTATCCAGCATCAAAGTTAAATTCTATAGTATTTTATTATCAGAAAATGCAAACTTAGGACTGCCACGTTAGAAAACACAGACAGAATCACATAAAGAAATTTAAACTTGACTCTGTGGGGATAACTTAACTGCTATTACATTAAGTATATGTAATATTGTATTAGCAAACTGTAATCAGCATGTATTTTAAAATACACTATTTTAAAAATGTAAATAGAGTTTAAATAGTTTTAAAGCTTCAAATGTTTGTCTCCATAGATATGAACAGCTCATTTTCCACATCTCAAGCATAGCTACAGCTTACCATTCAATTTCAGGCTTAGGTGACCCAAAATAAGCACAGTCTAGCAATGCAGGACTATCTGCGATGACTTGATACAGCTTATTAGCAGGAGTTAGAATTCTTGGTGGCTCAGCTGAAAAGACAAAGATATCTGGATATAGATACAAAGATATGAATACAAAATCCAAAGACATCAAGACTGGCCTAAAGAACATCCTTCTCTGAAGTGACTTCTGGTCTCAGTCAAGATCCAAATATATTCTACTGGCACTAGCCTGAGGAGAAGCTAACAAAGGGGAATTATCTTGTGAAAAACAAACGTTTCTTGCCTGTTTACAAGTCACAGTGGTGGGTAGCAAAGGTAATGATTAAAATTGGAAAATTTAAATCAGTAAAGACTTCAAGAAGATAATCTCCTGGGAATAGAGTGAACTATATAATCCAAACAAAGCTGCAGGCAGAAAGAAACTAGGATATATTTTTGGTGCAATACCTACATTTTGTTTCTTTGAAAAGACAGTGTCTCAATCAACAGGTCTGCCAGTTCCTGCAGGAGAGTTGTTAGAGGCCCAGAATTTTGTTACTAGCTTTGTTAAATTCAGTGTGAATTAGAGAGGCCACAACATCTTGTAACCGGAAACATATTCTTGGGAGGCCTTCAAGAAAAATGCATAATCATGTCCCCTTGCAACAGTAATTTAGAGATTCATCTATTCAACTGATGTGAAATATCCACACTCAATGAAACTGTATTGAAACATACTAACTTAAGGAATACTAATTCCAGCCTTATTTGTTACACTTCCATTTGCCTGATTTACATAACAAGAAAAAAAAAAAGAGAGAGAGAGAAAATTTCTTCCAAGTTTTCTCCAGCTTTCACAACTATCCTTCTTACTCAGGTACAGTGAAAGTGAAACTCAGGAATACCCTAGAAAAACCAGGTATGTATACACTTGCTTTTTACAGGGGTCAGGAAATATATTGATTCTTACTAAAGACCTCAAGCAAGGCTTGAGCACAGTGCCTGTGTAGTAGCAGGAGACAACTAAATAACTAAGAAAACTGACAAATAAAAAATCTGTTTCTTACCCAGAACATTCACAAATGCATTTGCTAGCAAGTATCCATATTCATTAGAAGCATTGCACTGATAGACAGCACTTGATCTTTCTTGCACGTGGGAGAAAATAATGGTGTCACCATCTACCTTTCTGCTAGGATCTTCTGGGGCAACTGTTGGTGTAAAGAAAAAGAATTATTGCTTTTCCTAAACTGTTCTTGGATTGTAATATTCATACTTCTGAAGAGAAGAATCTGAAAGACCAATATGCCCTTTATCTTTTTTTCCTGAGTGGCTGCTCACTGGTAAAGATGTGAATTTTAATACCGTAAAGGAAGTTCTTCCAATTCTACAATATTAACTCAGGATGGTAGAGTTCTCATTTTTGGAGAGTTTTTTTGTTTTTTTGTTTTACAAAGAAGTGAAGATGAGATTGTATTTTACATGCAATATAGAGGAAAAATACAGATATGACAAGATTCAGGTAAATACAGACAATATCTAGAAAAATATGGAAGTATTTCTGAATGTCAAAAAAAATGCTGATAGAATGACACAGTCCTCTATGACTTTAAAGTTTCAAATCAATTGTTATACCATAAATAATTCTCCAAATATAAAAATAGCCATACTCAGTTGAAAACTATCTCAGAGTAAAGCATAAGCAATTGCTTCCCACAAAATCAAGAAACCGTCTTCACAAGAGCATAGTTAGTAATTCAGCAGATGGCACTCTTTCCCTTATGTAAGAATTATACATTGCCATTTCCTTGACTGTTCTGGAGTAGTCTGAGCTGTCAAACAGCTCTTGCATCCCAGAAGCATGGAGGACATAACTGAAAATAAAATTCTAAGATAATACTGAAGAATAATAGCTATCAGTTATGATCCAAATGGATGGAGTTAGAGAGGTACAATGGAGAAAAAATTTAGCTTGTAACAATAAAAATGCACAAACTATAGTTTAATATTTTATGAAAATATTAAGTAAAAGCAGATTATATTATTAATGTATTAAAAAGCAGATGTATTATTATTGAAAATTAATAGTAAAATTAATGCTGTTCTTAGATGAAAAACAAATGTATATATCCTAGTTTGGACGCATCATCAAAATTAACGCCCATATTGAAGCTTCAGAAAATAAGCTTGTGGAAGGCAATTTCATATAAAAAAATTTCTCATTTATTTGGACTCATAGAAAAGATCAAGCAACTAAATTAACATCAATTTTCCAAAAGTGACAGGACCTTTCTATTCAGACAACGCCTTAGTACTTACTTAGTAAAGAAAATGGAAAAATTTCTCCTGCATTTTCTTTAAGTATCTACTACTAAATTCTCTACAAGAGAAGAAACCAGACAAAGAGGACCACAGTTCTGTGCTTCTGCTTAAGGGTATTTCCATGATGAGCGAACTTTAAGGCCATTTTTCATGTAAAGTAATTACATCAATTTCCAAAGAGTTGCCCCGAGAACAGTTTTCAACTCTGTTTTTCCCTCTGGTCTTCCATCGCTCCAAGTTCGAATCAACATCACAAAGTCAAATATTTCGGAAAGAAAAAAAAGGTACCACTGGGATTTTAAATGCTTATTCTCTGGACTTCTGGATTGCTGGCACTTATTTTTCATCTCTTTTGCTTTGCTTCCTATTGTGTTCCATGTCTCACATTGCTTCCTATTCTATGTAAATGCCATTTTCATTAAAAGATTCATGGGTTGAAAACAGACAAAGCAGGTGAGTTGCCCAGCAGGCAGGCCAGCCAGCTGTGAGAAATGGTCTGTTTCTGCATACAAATCACAGTTAAATAGAAAATAGGCACAACTGCCCTCCCAGGAGGATGGAGATCTGCCCACAGCCATTCCAATCATGGTTACTTCCTGCCCTAGGCTCTGTGCTTCCCTCCACTCATACCCTTTGAATCCTGCAGCACTTTTTGCACACAGAAAGGTCTTTGATGGGTGCACAGACTGACCCCCTCACACACACTCTCATACATCTATGTATCTATATCAAGCCTTACAGGCTGATGGCAGGGCCAATCCAAAGAGATGGAAGCCATTAATTCAACTCTCTATGACTGAAGAAGGAACTGGGTTATAAAAGAATGATCTAACCATTAAATTATTATATAAAAAGAGGGGTAGCATCTTCCCACTGCTGTATTTAAGGAAAAAAAGAGATATCCCTTTTCAGCTATCTGAAGGAAAGGAGGAAGGTACTTGTTCTCAGAAAACAGCTTCAAGCTGTCCATCCCAAGAGGAAAGAAAACAGGAAAGTGTCAGGTTAGTCTGTGCTTCCTTTTAACTGGTCTAGCCACTTGCATGCTGCAGGGCATTGATTCAAAAGCTCCCTGTTGAGACTGGCATCTAGTCAACAGCCTGTCTTCTGACATGCCTCATCCTCCCACGCAACACAAACAGAACCTACAAGCCTTTGCCCGTGTATTATACTGTGTTTCGCAGGGCCAGGCCATACAAGTTAGATGCTGTATCATTTAGCATTTTTAATGATCTTAAACACTGCTGCACACACAGCACACAGAATCACTGAGGTCAGAAGGGACCTGTATTGGTCATCTGGCCCAAACCCCATCTTAATCAGGGCCACCTAGAGCCAGTTGCCCAGAACTGTGTCCAGATGGGGACAGGATCACCTCCCCTGACCTGCTGGAAATACTTTGTCTAATGTAGCCAAGGATAACTTGAGCCTCTTTGCCGCAAAGGCACATTGCTGGCTCATGGTCAACTTGGTGTCCACCAGGATGCCCCAGTCTTTTTCTGTTAAGCCACTATCTAGTTGGATTCTCCCCAGCATGTACTGGCACTAGGGTTGTTCCTCCCCACTTGCAGGACTTTTCCCTTCAGTTTGCTGAACTTCATGAGTTTCTTGTCAGCCCATTTTTCCAGCCTGAAGAGGTCCCTCTGAATGGTAGTATATCAGCCTCTGGTATATCAGCCACTCCTCCCACTTTCGTGTCATCAGCAAACTTACTGAGGGTACACTCTGCCTCATCATCCGGATCATTAATGAAGACATTAAACAAGACAGACCTCTGGGGTATACCACTAGTTACTGGCCTCCAGCTGGACTTTGTGCCACTGATGACCTTCTCTGGGCCTGGCCATTCAACCATTTTTCTATCCAGCCCATACATCAACAGCTTGTCTACGGGCATCTAACGGGAGACAGTGTCAAAGGCCTCACTAAAGTCTAGGTAGACATTATCCACAACTCTTACCCCCACCTACCCAGCCAGTCACTTCATCATAGAAATGTGTCAAGTTGGTCAAGTATGACTTCCCCTTGGTGAAGCCATGCTAACTACTCCTGACGGTTTTCTTGTTCCTAATGTGACTGGAAATAGTTTCCAAACTTAGCTGCTCCTTCACTTTTCCAGGGATCAAAGTGAAGGTGACCAGCTTGTAGTTCTCTGGGTTCTCCTACTTGCTCTTCTTGAAGATAGGAGTAACACTTGCTTTCCTCCTGTCTTCGGGCACTTCTCCAGTTACCATGATCAATCTAAGATTATCCAGAGCGTCCTTTCAATGACATATGCCAGCTTAGTCAGCATTTGTGGGTGCATCCCATTAGGGCTCATGGACTTACATAAGTCCAGTTAGCCTAAGTATCCCATGACCTGATCCTTTTCCACTGAGGGTAAAGCTTATTCAAGTCTTTTTCCCTGGTCTGTGGAACCTGAGATTCCCAAAGGCCAGTCTTGCTAGTAAATAAAGAGCGAGGCAAAATAGCCATGTAGTACTTCAGCCCTTTCCATAATCCAGCCTTTTTTTTTCCTTTTCCTTTTTTTTCTTTTTTCCTAGGGAAAAAAGAGCATAGGGCCACTCAAGCACTGCTTGTTTGCCTGTAAGAGTATTCTGGTCACATTACAGGATAGCTGCACAAAAAAGGCATGATAGCCAAATCTGAATTTGGTACTGATAGTCAAACTACGTAATACTTAAAATGGGTATATGAATGATGAGGATTTGCTATAAGAGTTCTGCTGCTGTAACAGGACAGTTAAGCACGTGCCCTGTAACAGCTAACATTTGCTCCCAATAACATGGAGTCAGGTAAGAATTGTGTTAGTAAGCGACAAGTTTGTGCATTCATGTAACATTTAAGATACTTAAGAGTGAACTTACGTGATAATCTTTGTATTGCATTCTAACTATAAGTGTAGTAAATAGTACTGATCGCCAACCCATCTGTACTTATTAAATATTTTATATACTTAAATTTACTGATTAGAACTCAATAAACTACTGTATCAGATCTGAGTGATCTTCTCCTGCAGTACATTTTTATACTGAACATTTGTTATCGTAGTTCTAGTATTACTACAATTCTTTCCTTAAGTTTATGCACAAACAAAAGGGAATGTAAATCAGAGTGTGAGATTAGCAATGGCTCTTAAGCCATGATTTTTAACAACTCTAACTTCAGAGATAGCTTTGAAGACGCTGTTACTGTGGAAATATATAAAGAAAGCAAATAGAGAAGTTTAGGTGCTTTTTTCCCCGCTATGAGTATAGTAACATATGGTCCTTTTATAGTGATACTCATGCTTGTCACCTTCTGAGAGGATCATCAGGGTCATTTGTATTATAGTAACTTTTGCTAGAAGTATCCTATTGTTGTTCACCAGCTTATTCTTCCAAAAATTCACATTCATTAGTAATTTATGAATATACTAATCAATTTCAAAACTAGAAAAGTCTTTCTGGGGTTAAAACTACCTATAACTGAATGACTGAAATGGCAAAGAATGCTCTTTTCCTTTTCTTACCAATCCCATGCTTCTCAGCAAAGTTTCTGATTTCTGAGTTTCTGATTCTGGTAGTTCTATTATCTCCAAAGGGACTGCATTACCTGCACTAATTATGACCATCCTTTGACTATCTTGTGCAAAATTAAAGAAAAACTGATTATCAAAGGTTTTTATAACTGCTGCAGTTCCTAGGCCAGATGCACAGTTCCAACATAATGACAGCAGAAGCAGCGGATAGATGTCTGCCCTGGCAGTACTGTCCTGTTTGAGACTGAACTTCTTAGGGCACCCCACTCCAGCAAATTTCTCTTCACCCACCCATGGCTGCCATGAACAGCCAGTATATGCAGTGTGTGTGTATACTCAGAGAAAACACAATGGATGACAAATCTCTGAGCCAGGAATTATCAAGGCCTTTCATGAAGGAAATCTAAAGGCTAATGTTTCTCCCTTAAATTCAATATGAGTACCAACGGAGACTAACTCAAATCTAGAAATTCAATTTGAAATGTGATATAAACAAGAGAAGAACATGTTGAAAGATGATAAAGAGTGACTTTGAGTGCACTACTTTGTATAAATCTAGGTGTTTGTATCTAATAATTAATAGCTCATCATGAACTATAAACCACTGAACCGATAAATTAGTCTTTTGTACAGTATTTGCAATGCCTTTCTGAAGTCCAATTATGAAAGTGCTTCCCCTTCCCAATTAATCTGGGTTGTTACTTTCTTAAAAGTTGAGATACTTTATGCATGGTTTCCCTTTTGTAAAACCATGCTGAATATCTAAGCAGTAAGACACAATGGATCACGTAGCAGTATAAATAATGCAGATCTTGAGTGTTAATTGAAGCATGAGGCATGGCAGTCATGGCCTGAACTTTCAATTGCTATTTGCCAAAGTAATTCCAATTGACCTCAACAGGACGGTGCACGTGAGTTCAAAATAGTCCTGTTGGTAAACATTGAGAGGTTAGGTTAGGTCCTTATCAGTCCAGTAAGTCTGAAGCAGCTTTTTTTTTTTTTTCCGAAATGTTGGTGTTTTTCTTTTCAGCATTATTGTTGAAGAAAATTAATTAAAATATTTTAGATAAACCTAAAAATCTTCCTCTAAAAATATTGGTTTACTCAGATTATTATAATCTTGAACAAAATTTACCATTGCAATTTTGTTTCATAGGTACTTAATACACACTACATTTTTCTTTATTTTTCCCTTTCCCCCATTGATATTTAAGCCTCAGTCTTTGACTGAGATATGGACGAATGGTTCTTTCTTCAACATTCCCCCTTCCTTGTCTGACTCTATTATGAAAAAACAAAACCGGAAGAATTAAGTATCTCCCAGCTGTGCTTTCTGACAGAAAATTAAAGTATTGCAAACAGATTACTAGGCCACAGGAGGCACATTGTGGGATATATGATGACAGCAGGGCTTTGAAATTCAAATGTAGCTCTTTTTCTTTGAAATCTTGCCATGGGTGTAGCTCTCTTAGCACTGCCCTGAAGCTGAAACAGCTGCTTTAGTTTCCTTTTACAGTGATTTACTAATCATTCAGTTGGAAGACGAGGGGCTCAATTCTATAATTTATTAACAAGTGAACAAAAAGGCCCACTGTACTTGGGAGTTTCCAGAACAGCTTTTGATAATTCAGAATAAGAAATAATCACAAGAATTTTAAGAACTGCACTTTCTGCGACTATGATGCTTCTCTTAGATGTGCTGACAGATGCACTGTACTGGAGCATCCAATCATCTTGCACTTAAAGATTTAAGGTGGATAAAACTTCAGCTTTTCTCAGCAGTGAAAGTGACCTTTCTCATAAGGCTGAGCTACTCACTTGTTTATTTCCAGTCTTCTTTCCTTTTTTTTTCCCCCTACTGAGTTTGAGTGGGTAATTTAATTAAAGTCTTTAATTTTTATTGAGTTCCCTTCAACAAGACTCTGTGTACTGATTCCTCAAGGCCAGCCAGCCAATATACGCTGCCCTTGTATTTGGAAAATTTGGTGGCATCCTGCAGCTGCTTCTGAAAACCCCGATTTTACTGCTACCCTGCAAGAATGCAGAACACATCACTGCTTTTCTGGAAAATATACTTGTCTGTCATTTGAACAGCATGTCCTACAGCTTTGACAAGGAAGTAGTGCAAGGCAAAGGTGACTCTCACAGCCAGGTGAAAAGGATTTTACTAGTCAGGAGGTCTGAAATAAGTTAAAACTACCGGGAAAGCAGGATAAAAATCTCCTCCAAACAAACAAACAAAAAGTGAATGGTAAATATGTAGAAAACAGCAAAGGAAGAGGAGAACACCAAAAATCCAGAAAGGAAAGTGAAAGACAGGTACTGAACTTCTGTGATAAGGCATACACTATGATATATTTATGTATAAATATACACAATACAAAACTACATTGCTACTTTCCTGTTTTCCTGTCAAACCACTGTTTGATGAGGTGGTTAATGTCAGCTTACGTGACGTATTTAACCAATGGAAACTTGTCATTTTAAATCTCAGGCTAGAGATCTCAACTTACATTTAATTAGGATTCATGAAACAGGTTATTTGCTAAATAACCAATTAAATTTAATCTCACTTGTATACCAAATACTTCAAATGTATCTATTGAGGGTTCTCATTTACCTGTTGCTATTTCCTAGATTTGACTGTAGACGATCCTTCTCCATGTCCCAAACTGGGTGACATTGCTTCATCAACAGACTTAACTCCTAAACTTCTGAAAGTGACACTGTCATACTTTAAACAGGTAAGCAGAGACTACTATTTTAGAGTACATTGTCTCTCATGAGCCAACAGGGCAGTCTGTTTTTATACTAATGTTCTGTGAATGAGGAAGGGTAAAGCTAGAAGAACCAAGCGTGACTTTGCGGCACAGGGCATCCTGAGTGCACACCCTGCAGTGTCCTCCAGCAAGTCCTTCCCAAGTAAAGTTGTGCTATATATAGTGGCTACCTTGTGTTTGTCATACAGCATTGCCCGTGTAAGGACAATTAAGTGACTCAATTATCAATTCAGGCCTCCTTTTTGTATCCATGTACACAGAAACAGCCGTTCCACTGCCTTAGGGGTTCCTTTTCTTTGACACCTTCTTGGCACAAGCTGTTTGCCAGGTAGTTGCTGACACATTCAGTCAGTTTTGCTGCTGCAGCTTCTTAGTAATGAAGCCTGGAAGGCTCAAACATATGCTAAGCTGCAAATCCTGCAGTGTACTGCAAATCCTGCAAATCCTACAAGTGCTCTGTATATCCACAAATGTGAGGACTTGATCTTTTATGTCACATTCAGGACTCCTAGACAACATTAGAGTTGCAGTGGGCACCAAAGGAGCGATCTAGCAGACATGACTGCCACACAAACACATAAGTAAAAATTACACCCCAGCAATGGCTTTGTGAAAAGGACAAATGTCACAGCTTTGTTACTACCACCTGAACTCCACAAAGATACTTACCAGCAGAACACTAGACAGATCAAAATGGGGTATGCTTATACATTTTAGTGCTCTCAAACACGTTAGGGGCACATTTTGTTGTTCCACTTTCATGAACCACAGTATTTTTACCACATATTTTATAATTTAGTATTACCTGTCGGGCAAAAACTACTCATATACAGGCTCTTCACTTATATTTGAAAAACCTCATATATTCCTCATATTTTCTTATTCATGCTCCTGTAAGGTAATTAAGAATCTTACTTGCTATGGGAACGCCATTTGCTAACCAGCTTATACTAGGCTTTGGGTTGCCATTAGCTCTGCAGATCAATGTCCCATCTTCTCCAGGAGACAAGACCAAGTTTCTGGGTGCTGTTATCCAGTATGGGGCAGCTGGTTTTAAGAAGAGAAAGACAGCAATCATTTTCCAAAATTATGTACAGACAGTCATAAAGACAGTAACCAGAAGATAATTCAAACAAGGTATGTGTAGATACAGACTTACACCTATACTGTCACTTTATATACATATGTACCTATATCTCTCTCTATGTGATACCCAAGGACTAACTGGTAGATTATACATTGGCTAAACTGAGCTATTCACTACCTATTGCATTAAAATTCTGATACAAACAACAAGGGTTGTCTTTCACTTAGGGTTGCCTGCTTTGAATCTAACTTGCCTTTCCTGAAGCAAGCAAAATTTATCTGAGTATGGCATCTGCAGAGACTGCAGTGGTATTTTGATTAATTTCAGAGATATCCATGCTCACAATAGTTAGGCTGTTAGAAATGAATTTAGGTTTGACTATACAAAAAGATTTCGTGTCAAGGGTGAAATTTAGAAATGGAAAAACCCTTGGTCTCACTAAATTCAATGGATGATTGCAGTGGGGTCAGATGTTTACCTGAGAAAGATGAAAACACATTGAGGTCAGAATGGGTGGAACACTGCCCGTAATAAAAGATATCCAACTATTTCTCCATTCTTTTTACAATAAATAACCACAAAGAGCATATGTTATTGCATCTTGCAATTAAATTTCAGACTTTGGATTGAGGGACAGATGCAAACAGAAAATGAAACTTCTCTTAAAAAGGAGGTTTGATGTGGTCATAAAATGATGCTGATCTACAACACAGTAAAGGGCTATTTAGCATGCAAAGTAAGCACTACAACTGATTATTTCAATGACTAATTAGCTGCCATTACAGGTTTTTGTTTCATGGTATTCACAACATACTTACAATTCCTGTTTAGACAAACATTGTAAATGATTTTAGAACTAGTAAGGTATCATTTTGAGTAAAAAACCATGAAGATAGAAACTCAGAAATGTCAGTTAAGAGAGAAAAAGGAAGAATATAAGACTGTAAGATGATAGTAAAATAAAAAAGAAAGAATCTGGGCTATATGAATGGTGTGCAGAAAAAAAAATGGAGAAATTAAGAAAGAGATGATGAAGAGGGATGGGGAGAAAAATATAAAAACAAGAGAAAGAAGTAGTCTAATGACAGAAAATCAAAGGATCTAAAATAAATGTAGTACTGGTGCAAACTAATGAATTATCTTACTACTGTTACAGTACAATAACAATTTAGTCTGATGCTTTATAAAAGAACATTAAAAAATGAAAAAGAGATTAGAGATAGTCCTTCCAGTACTAGAATTCAGATGGTTTAATGATTGTTTCCTCAGGGTATTTTTTAACCATTATCATTTATCCTTTCAGGTGTACTTCATCCTAGAAAGCCCACTTCAGTCTTGTATTCTGTATATTTGACAATATTACATTAATGATAACTTTAGTCTTACCTTTCACGGTTACTGAAATGACATGATGAACTGAACCCAGTGTATTTCTTGCTATACACTTGTAGTTCCCAGAGTCAGCTTCAGAAACATCTATAATCTTTAGAGTTTTCTTAAAATTTTCAAAAAATGTTCTGTTGGCTGGCAGTTCCCCACCCTCTTTAATCCAGCGGATTACCGGTGTGGGTCTGGAGAAGCAGAAGCACAGACCAAATTTAGGGATTGAAGAAAAGGAAGATAAGACTTCAATAATTAATTTTTTTTAACATATGTTTTAGTATGTTAACGCCTGGAGGAGACTGAGGGGAGACCTCACTGCAGTCTACAACTTCCTTATGAGGGGAAAAGGAGGGGTAGATACTGATCTCTTCTCTGTGGTGACCAGTGACAGGACCCAGGGGAATGGCCTGAAGTTGTGTCAGGGAGGTTTAGGTTGGTGATTAGAAAAAAGTTCTCTTCACCCAGAGGGTGGTTGGGTGATGGAACAGGCTCCCCAGGGAAGTGGTTACAGCACCAAGCCCGACAGAGTTCAAGAAGTGTTTGGATGATACTCTCAGGCACATGGTGTGACTCTTGGGAATGGTCCTGTGCAGGGCTAGGGGTTCGACTTGATGATTCTTAGCGGCCCCTTCCAACTCAGCATATTCTGTGATTTCGAGAGCCTTTACCCAGATTCAGGGGCTCATGCAACAAATATGAAAAATATGCCAGCATTTGTTTCTAGGAAATGACAAGCTTCACTAACACTGTCAATGGCCATCTGTTCATAGGAGTAATAATTACAGAATACATTTGTCTGCTGATTAATTTAAAATACCTGATAGTTGATAAATGAAGACAAGTTTCAAATCTCATTGTGCTTCTACTATTAAATTGATGCTTAAGGTGTTTTTAAAGGTAGCTTCTAGATAATGACAAGTTTATAATTGTCCTTAGTGTGAGCAATATCCTAATGCTTCATGAACATCATAAATTTTACAGCAGAGCTGTAAGCAGATAGAAATATTTCTTATGAGAAATAAAGAAAAAAATGAAAGTGCTGAGTCAAGTATAGCTACTTGTCACTGCACCATGTCTAAACCTTGGTTATGCCCCCAGTTGTCCACTGAAGCTGAAAAGTTGTTCAAACACATGGAGATATATTTTTAAAATTACAAGAAATTAGAAGGTGTTCTACTCTTACTGAGTAGAATGTCCTCTTCCAAATAGTAATGACTCTAGGCAAATAGTCCCTTAGCAGTCTAATATCACAGATTTTATAACACAGACACTTATTTATGGTGTCCGTAATTAGGAATAGTTGTTTTAAAAAAAATATGCATCTGACCCTTTGTGGACAAGTATTCCCTCAGTGAATTATTTTTTTTTTTTAATTACATGACAGCTAAAGACACTAACCTGTATAATACTCTATATTTTTCATGGGTTTTATCCAGCCATTTTACCTGTGTTTGGATCACCAAATACTTTTATTGAAGGGCTGTCAAAAAGCATGTAACCATATTGCAGACAAAGATTACCTGAGCTGATGCTACTCACGGTCATGGTTTTGCTGGTGCTGCTGGTGCAATCACCTGAGCAGATCACAGCTGAGACAGAAACAATGCACCGATGCTCCTATCAAACTGTGTCAAGTGTGCATGAGAAGCCCTCTAGAGCTTATGCAAGTGAACACATGTGCATGATGCTGTAGTGCATGATTTACAGTTACTGGCTTTCCTCATGGCTAAGTCAGAGCCCTCTGCATTATATGCCTTTGTGCACTGTAAACACATTTACAGTTCCTGAAACAGGTACTGAGGATTTTCTATTTCTAAGCAATCTATTCTCAGATTTCTTCCTGAAACTAACTTAAGATCAACCTAATTAATGAAGTTAAATTGCTCTTTAGTAATTTTCTTCTTGCCCAATAACCAGCAGAAGCAAACTTGCATTGCATTGAAGAAACAAGTACCAATTAAACTCAATTACAATGAGAAATTTGATGTAAGGAGCTGAAGATATCTTTTAACAACTCCCATCTAGCTGATCTACTAAGTAATTACTAGCATATATAAGAAGCTTTCTCAGATTAGAACAGTAAAATCATGTCTATTTTTATATAATTTGAGAGCCTAATGATTGCAAACTTAGGAAAAAAACAGAGGCTGTATTCCTGAGAGCAATTCTTCGCATATTTGCCTGACTTCACCCTATGGCATTTCTTGCTTGTGTCCTTTAAAACCAACAGTATAACCCGTATCCTGTGCATAGGGTTTGAGAATCTGAGAAGGCAGAGGTCATACATATGTTCATAATCAGTTTTAAAGTCTGCTGATCCCCAAGTAAATGGAGGATTTCCTCAGTACAGCTCTTTCCATTCTACACTTCTGCTTCTTTGAAACACATAAGCTTATACAGCAGTAACATTTTAAGCATCTCTGAAAGGTTTCCCTCTGTTTCTGTATTTCTATTTAGAAAAAAAACACCTATCTAAAAAGTAACTCACAATCCTGCTGCAATGCACTCCAACAAAAGCACATTTCCTCTGAGTTCCACTTTGGTACTCGTGCTACCTGTAGGTGTTAGAAGAACTGGCTGCCTCTCTGTAACTGGCTTCGCTGAAACAAGAAAAATTCAAATAATTAATTTCTCTCAATACTGATCAAGTGCATACATCTATTCTCACATTTTGGACAGATTATGCTCTACATTGGCCATTTAAGTCATTGTGTAACACAACTACAGAGCTCAACACATTAGGTTTTGACAGACATAACATATCTGTTAAATGCCACAATTTTGAACATATACATGAAAAATGTTATTATTAAAGACAGGAGCAACTGATACAAAGCTTTTGCATAGACAACTATGCAGCCTTAATCGTAAGCAGCCCCTATTCACTTCAGCAGAATTATTATTATTAAATAAGCCACTAGTGTGAGGCACAGTGCAAGACTCAAAGTTACCAAAAATTTCTGGGCTTCCATAAAAATAAAGCAAATCTATTTTACTCAAAAATATAAACCAAGGGGATGAAAGGTATGCCCTGCTTTGTAATATGTTTTAATACTTTCTAGACAATGTGAGATGTGGTTTCAGAAGCTTTGTATTTTCCTCTTGCTGTATATTTAACTTTAATTCAAGCATTTCCCCAGTCTTGTAATAAAGAACCATTGATTAACCTGTAAGAAATAACTACAGTAAATAGGCAGCTATAAATATAAGACCAATTTATGACATTATACTCTGTTGGCTTTTGAAGTATTATAGTATTTCCTGTGCCTTTACGGAAGTCAAAATAAGAGTGTTTTCTGTAATCATAGAGTGTTTTCTGAGCATCCTCTAATTTTCTCTTATAGCAATTTACTATATAGGATTAAATTGCTCTGAAGTGCAGTAGCAATCTGAAACATTACAGTAATTTTTATTTTTTTTTAATGTGATTAGAAACACAATAAACTCTAAGTTTGTTAGGGTACGGGATTTACTGACAGATTAACATAAATACGATTTTAAATACAGTATGTGCTGTGAATTTCTTAAAAACTAGTACACAAAAAACATTGTTGAGAGAAAGGGGAAGTCTAGAGTCAAGAATGCAGCTGATAGTCACAGCAACAACTAATCTATCTCATATTTTGAGACTATGAAAATTCAGAAGTATTACCCCGGTGTTTCTGAGTTGTGACCCAATTGAACAGTATTTTCCTAACTAATTGTAGTTAATATATTGTTTTGTATTCAGGTATTTATTTCTTGTTTGTTCCTCCTGAATAACATGTAAGTTTTATGCAGAGAAGTAAAATATTCTGTGCCCATGTTTTATTTTGGATTTACGTAAGTTATGGTTTAATATGTACAGAGCCCCATTTGACAAGGAAAAAGACAAAATAGAGTAAATTATCAATTATTTTCTACATCACACAATATCAAGTGGAGAGTCTAGAACCTCAAGTGTTACAGAATCAGTGGTGCTCCAAAGTCAGCCTCGCTAAACATACACAGGCCTGTTTGGGAGGATTTAAGGCACAATATACAAAAGACAATTCAACATAAATTAATGGGAAGACCAGTTTAAACACCAAGCAAACGAAAGTCATCTTACTCCTACATAGTTATTTATACAGATAGTATTAAAGTGTTCAGATTTTTATTAATTCCAGTTTCACGCTCATGAATTAAGATAAAAATGAATGGTACATACAATAAGATATTAAATGTGAAGTGCATCTGTTAAATGCTTAATTGTTGTTATTTGTTATGCAACATATGATAGTGAATAGTCCTAGTGATAATGAACTATCAAACTACTTGGTAAATTGGAGGAAAAAGAAGAAAAAGCAACACAGTATAGAAGCAATCAACTAGACCATTTTTAAAATCTGCCCCAGTGTGAAAGGACTCATTTATAATAAGCATTTATATTTTTTATGAGCCATATGTTACAATAACATTGAAAAATTAAATATTTAAAAGGATCACACTGTGCAGTCCCTTCCTAAAGTATATATTATCACCAGCACTAATTGATACCTTTATTAGAAACTGAAAAGGGAGTAAAAGGTTAAGTAGCCATGGAGGTGAGGTTAGTTAACTAAATGCTACTGTGAAACAGGGAGTATCAGTGGGGACCAGTGTAACTCACCACCATAAATATCAGTGTCACTCAAATTAGCAGCTATAGTGTCATTCAATGAATCCACTGAAATAAACAGAATATCATGAAGAATGCATACAAGAGGGATAAATAAAAGTTCTGGGAATCAAAAGATGATGATATGGCCACGGTGAGTTAATCAAATGATTGATTAATTTGTTTCAATAGTTACAATATTCATAATAACTTTATATTATTGCATTGGAAAACCATCTGAAAACTTATTTTTTACATGGTATTTTTTCTATATTTCAAATCTTACAAAACATTTTTTCAGAAGACAAAGCCTTATAAAGGGAAAAATGGTAGCTTTTAAAATGTCAAGAAAATTGGAGATTACATTGCCCAAGTTTATACAGTAGAACAATTTCTTATTTAGAATTAAAATGACAACATTCCCTAGCGTAACACTACTTAAAGTCAGCATATAACTTGAGAACTCTGGATAAATACTACATAAATATGTAATTAGGTAATGCAATACCTACATGAAAATACTTTTACAGAAATGGGTTGTTTCTGCTGTATAGTTTGTGTATGATTAAATCTTGCATAGCAGATATAGTCCTCCCGGGTGTCTTCTGGTTGTACATTAGAAAAATAAAGATCTCCATTTAGACCTTGTGAAACTCTTTCACTTTGAGGCAGCCTTTGGAAAGCTAAGGGAAAACAAGGACACATTTATCTCAATTATAATACACACTCCATTATTATGATCTGCAGACTCCACATTTGCTCAATTACACTGTTTGTGGCTTTGTACATACAGACATTTCTAAGTTTCCCAGCAAGTTCCCCTGTCTTCCCATTCTTCCCCAGTGGGTTAATCTACAACTTACATGAAGATCTCCAGCTGCTTTTGACTTCATGCTTTTGGGCTGTATGTCTGCTTGTTTCTTCATTTCTACAGAAATGGAAATTCTCTGAATTTTAACTTACAGGGAAACTCCACCATCTGGTCTTGGTAAGTAAACAATGATCTACTATGCAGAAAAACTGCAAAAAGTAAACTACTTCTGCATAAAAACCAAACTCACCATTATCCATCCAAAATATTATAGGTGGTGGTAAGCCAACAGGAGGTCTGCAGTGCAGTACTAGTGAATCACCTTCGCGAACCTGATGTGGTTCTAGTTTTTCTTTGGTCCACAAAGGCGATCCTACAGAAAGTAATTTTAACACACACACAAAGTATGGATTGACAAAACCTCCAAAATTTATGGGAAAATGCACATAATATTCCAGAAAAACAGAAGAAGTACATGCATCGAAATGTTAAGTCCTGTCACATTTACTAAAGATTTAATTTTTGTTCTTTTTTTATGTTTTCTGGAAAAAAAGTGCAGCATTGATTTGCTGAAAGTATAATCAAATGATTCAAATAATTTTGCCTTCTCACAAAAGGTTTTATAACAGTAACTTGAAAAGTTTTAACTATGATAATGAAAAAAAAAATGATGTACTAAATTAGAAGGAGCAGACCTTCTTGAAACAATATTATACATGCAGTTCTATTAAAACGTAAGAACAGTACATTTTAAGCTGAGAAGCTTGAAAAACTAATCTGAGATTAAAAAGCACATAAAAAGCTGCAAAAACGGTCCACCATTAATAAAAATTTTTTAGCCTTATCTTCTTTTTAGTCCCAATCTGTTCTGTAGTAAAGCTATTACAAAAACTGTGGAACACAGGCTTTGTAAAAAGAATAAAAATTGTCATCAGCAATGACGTGCACTAAGGATTTAAATATTTTATTTTAATAGTAGTGTCATATATACAAATCAGTTTTAAATATGATAGGTCATCTAGATGTACTAAGAAAAAAACCCAAGTTATTAAATTTTCTAAAAAAATATTTGAGAGAACATGCAATACAGTATTAAATCTAAGTATCAGAAAAGCGACAGTAACTTTTAACAAAATCACTTTGATGATTAAATTTTTAAGACAGGAAAACAAAAAGGCAAAAAGTTCATAAGAAAATAAGAAAACCAAAGTGTTTCACATTTTCTGAAAATTAAGAGCTTTACTTACTAGAAGGCCTTATAACAATATTGTTGGAAATGGCTGCTCCTCGTTCATTCCTTGCTGTACACTGGTATACTCCTTCATATGCTTCTGCCTTCCCACCATTCATAATATTTATGACAAGGGTCCCTGAATTTGGTTTCATTGTTACCTGTGCATCTTTATCTATATCAAAATGAGTTCCATTGCGTGTCCAGGAGAAGCTAAAATAATAAAAACAAAAAGAAAAATTTCTTCTTGAGCTGCCTTTTGTAGATTGTATGAAAATAAGAAAAAAAGTAGTCACCAAAAAATGCATGTTATTTCTTCTTTAGCAGATAAATAAGACTTCTTCCAAAATAAATGAGCTAATGACGTAATACAGCACTTTTAATATGAGAAATTGGGCAATGTTTTAAGATAAAAGGTTTTGGCTGAACTTGTTAACAGGAGCCATTTCAAAGTCAATGTGTTTTTTTTTTAAAAAATACATTAAAGGATTCTGAGGTTAATCATACATGGAAAGGAACTGATTTCGTTTCTGATAAAAATGATGCAGTAACATCTGCAAGAACTGATACTGCTAAAGCTGCATTAGCATTTCCATTATAAAACCTATTGTTGAAAGCACCTGTAAACCTGTCTTGCTCTGGGCTGAAATGTGCCATCTCAGGCCCCAGCAGAAGACCATTTCTTTTAATTGGTTTGGTAATTTTGAAGTTATGCAAATGAATTAAAGACTATGTGGTGAGTTTGATTTCTTTTCACTATTATAACACAACCAATCATGACTCTTTAAACGAAATTATATAGTCTGATAGCTAATAATTAATCTAGTAAATTTATGCTGGTGCTACTCAAAGCAAGTATAAAAGTAGTCACTAAAAATGAAGACTAATAGAACCCACAAAAAAATTGTAAAGAAGCAGAGATTCACAATCTGCAACTTAGACTACTGTAAACACCAATTTCTTATATATGCTCTGTTAATGGTCAAAAGTATAGTCATAGAAAACTAGACCAATGCCTGTGAAGTGCTGAGTGCTCACAGGTTCAAATGCTGTAAAGAGCAGCTTTCATACTTGTTACACTTTTGCTTCAGAATCTTAAGCACAGTCTATGTGCTTACCGGTTAGAATGCCTCCTAAAATGGAAACTTAAATGGTACTGGAAAAGCTGAAATTCTAAGGGACTCACACTGTACACTGACCTTCTGCAGCATGCAGACATGCTATTTGCACTTTGTGGTGGGAGACAGAACTAGACCTGACCAGCAGCACTGCATCACACTGCAGCGTTTTTGGGAGGACTAGCAGGCACAGCGAACCAACAGCAAACCTCTTTTATAACACCTTGTGAAAGAAGCTTCAGAAAGTGGGGTTTCTGTAATCCTCTGCTACCAATAACTGAAGGATGCGGGAAATTGTAATGTAGCTTCAATTGAGAGGTAGCATATGTGGTACAAACCCCTGAATTTGAGAAACGGGAAAGTCAGAGTCTTTGCTGCTCAAGAAGCACATCCATAAACCTTTATGCCAGATGCTCTCACCAATAAGAAGCTGCCTTGTTCTAACAACCAATTCACACCGTGGGCTGAGAAAGTTCAAATTCAGAGCTTTTGAGCAGATCAAGTTCCAATATGCATTTGCAGGTTATCAGGACTGATGGACCAGACTAACTATTGATATAAATTAATTGGATGTCATATCTTGAAAAATAAAGAAGACTAAGCACAAGCTTGTAAAACTCATGAAAAAATTCTGTACCAAAATCCTGTCTCTTCCTCTGTAGTAGGGGAACAAAGACAGCTACAGGTTTGATGGGGAAAATGAGGATGTAGAGCAGCACACAGCTGCTGAGCACTAGCACACAGCTCAGGTTAGTTAGTCTCACAGACAGCATCCTTTTTTCTCAGGTAATTCCAACCAAAAAAGACATTCAAGAGAAACATCTGAAGAAGCAATACGGTTGTCCCAAAGTGCACAATAATCATCTGATCCTCCAGGTCAACACCCAGACTCTTAAAAATGGCATTGGGCCAGCTAAATTAAAGTGCTGGTAAACACAGCAGATCTGTGGCACTCCTATCATTAATGGAACACTAGAAAGGGTGAGAATATCCCAGACAATCTCCATCTTCCCCATTCTGCTGCCCAGCATGATAATGACCAGGATGCCAAGGCAACCAGCAGGAATAATGTACCAAAAAGCCTGGTTATCCAGAAGAAGTACATTTAATGAGCTCTGTCTGTGTCTGAATGAACAGTTATAGACTGACCTTGCTAGTAAGTTGTAGCATAACATTGCTGAGCACAGAGAGATGCACATTTCTATGTTCATAGTCTCTGAAATCAGAGGCAGATACTAACAGTGCCAGAATGTATCATGGCTATTGCTGTTTCCAGTACAGGTACTCAGTGTCTTGAAATGAATAGTTTTTAAGTATTTAAAGACCCTGAAAGAGGATCTTAAATTTAAAGAGAACCTTAAAATGGACAAAGATCAGGAATCTGATCTATGTAGAGGGCTACCATTTCTGTCAAAACCAAAACTTAAGGCTATTAAATACTCTTGGTAAATCAAGGCTACTGAACATTAAAACTGATACACATTATATTCTGACAAAATGTATTCCAAGATGAGCCTCAAAAACCAGAATGATTTACAAAACATTAAATGTGAATTTATTAGTGTTACTCTGAATTCACTCAACGTCCATTGTCCTTAAAGACAATGCTTAAATCTGGAATGTGATCCAGTTCATAGTACGGCATGTCTCTTTGTGTATTCCATGGGCATTTACCTATCTACTGTTCAAATAATTGTTTATTATTTTATTGGTAGAGCTTTGAGAATGAAAATACTACGGTTGTTTGATTAATACAGAAAACTTTAAATGTCAAATATGAGAAGAGTCAAATTTACCACTATCTGGTAGCTGTCTAAATTACAGAGGTAGGGGTGCATGCATGTTTCTGCATGTGCAAGCATATTCATACACATAATCTTGTTAGTTTACAAAAGTTACAGTATTTTCTCCTAGTTCTTCCATGCTGTTAGGCCAACAAAAGCAAAACAAAATGCTACTAACCTAGGAGGTGGCTTTCCTTTGGCTTCACACTGTATTACAATATTCTCTCGAGGGTCAACAATGTAATCTTTTGGAGATTGATGAGTTATCGTAGGAGGTTGTGACACTTCATTATGGAATATAAGAAAGAGAGACGAATTTAACAATGCTTTCAAAGTATCACCAAACCAGTTTTGTAAACAGAGAAAGCAGAATTGTGATTAGCAAGCAAATCAGTGACAGAAGAATGGGATTAAAGTATCCTTTGTATCAGGAGGCTGAAGTGCTCTACCCTTGTAAATCAGTGTAGCTATACTAACTCCCAACTGAGCTATCCTGATTTACTGTGGGTGAAGATCTTGGCCAAAAAGTTTAATGAATGTCACTTCTATACCTCAGATTCCAACAGATTTCCACAAAACCAAAGGACACTCCAATTCTAAGTCCAACAATCTGAAATGAAGAGTTGGAAGGCATAAACCTTCATGAAATGTTTTTTACTACACAGAAGGAAAGAAACACACACTGCTTTGTGTTTCTAAATATTTTTTTATTTCCAAATTCTCTATGGGTGTAACCCTTTTCACACACTTATTACGCTCAACATAATCTATAAAGCATGCTTTTAGGAACTACTTTTCAGGAGTAAAAAATGTGTTAAAAGACTCTGTAAAAATGACAAAAATAGTACCTACTTTCCAAATAAAGTAAACATGTAGAAAAAGTAAAGTACTGATTCCCCAATAAGGAACCCAATAAGAATTTAGTCAATCTTGTGAATTGCCCTGGAAGAAACAAACATTCCACATTTGTAATTTGTCAAGCACTCTAGAATGAGTAGCACAGAACAGAATTGATTCACCTGACACAATAGTTGGTGCCTACCTATTTAATGTAATTTATAATCTTTTATCAATATCTATGCTGATTTTTGCATTAAAAATATCATGTCTGCAATATTAAGATAGTGAGAAAGGTGTCTTCCTCAACATTATTCATCTGTTTATAGTTTAGCATCATCTAAAGGAATCTGTTTAATAACATGCCCATTAACATCTCTGTCTGAATGTTGTAAATTGCCTGTCCAGCTATGCTACTGCTTTGGGGTAATTTCTAGCAACTTGAACAAAATATTTCAATCACTAGAGTTAGCTGTATTCTCATGCCTCTTTCTAGCCAGTTAAAATTGTAAAACTGGGATTTTTACTTTAAGTCTTCCCTACCATAATATATAAAGTAGTCTGTTGCACAGACAGAGGTAGCCTTCTGTAAAACCGTACTGACAAGAAACAGCCACGGAAAAAACTTCAGATCATGAAATCATTAACAAAATACAGCAGCTAAGCAGAACAGAACAGGCCATGCAGGAGCAATGAGGGAGGAAGTATTTTTACATGATCATGCCTTTGTGTGTATTTCTTTAGAGGCACTTTGAAGACAGTCCCTTTTCCTCTCAGGGGCATATTTCAGGGTCAATACTTGCCAGATGCTTACTTGGGAAAAGCAAATACACTCCGAAAAGGGACATGACATGAACGCTGCCCAACCCACAGGATATTCCATCTGATGCACATCAAAGACCTGAAATCTCTATTCCTGTGCTATGCACTGCACTTAAAACTGATTGAATTAACCATGACACTAGAGCTTAGTTAGGAGAAGCCATAAAAATATGAGGTCTACTTAAATAACTGTATCCACTATGGATATAAAAGTATCTCCAACTCAGATATGTATAATAGTACAAAAGTACATATATGCCCTGTTCTAGAGCAAGCAGCAATCACAAGTATAGAAGCCATGTTGATGAGAACAGAGCTGCGATGGGCAGGGCACGTCTCCAGGATGAAGGACCACCGCCTCCCTAAGATCTTGCTTTATGGTGAACTTGCCACCGGCTGCCGCATGAGAGGAGCCCCAAAGAGAAGATACAAGGACTCCCTGAAACAACATCTCAGCCTTGGCCATATTGATCATCATAACTGGTCTACTCTGGCCTCCAATCGATAGGCCTGGAGACACACCATCTATAACGCAGCTGTCTCCTTTGAGAACACACGCAGGATCACCCTCGAGGAGAAAAGACAACGCAGAAAGAATACACCATCTAAGGAGTCTTTCTGCTGTGCCTTTTGCAATCGGACATGTCTGTCTCGTATTGGCCTCATAAGTCACCAACGTGCATGCAACAATTGTGGATAGAGCCTTCCCAAATCTTCGTTCGCGAAGCCCGGCCATGAGACATATATGCCAATGAATTTATTTTTTATCAAGTACATTTACTCCTGAAAGTAGTCATAAAACACTGCACATGCTGATACTGAGTAAATATTTTAATGTTCAGATAGCACACCATCAAAAACCACACAATTAATTTTTTCAGAATATTAGAATGTTGATTTATGTACAGTAGTTTGCTTTCTGAACACTGCATGCACAAAACATCTAGATACAGCAAACCAATCAGTATTACTTTTCAGCAGCACACAGCCTAGTTTTAGTGAAGAGGAACTTACATTCTTCTAGAAGTTTTGCTTTTATTTCCACATCAGAATCAGCAGTTGAATGGACAAATGGAGATTAAAGAGAAACATTTGTTAGTGAAAAGAAAATTAGCAATTTTGAGAGGGAAGATAAGTATGTCTGACAAGTACATTGGTCACCATTAAAAAGTAAACATTTAAAACATTTAGCACTGTAAGCCATGCAGGGAGGCCTGAAATCCCAGCTACAGTTTTCATTGTGTCAGTTATTACTACATTTATCTCAAAGCTCATGGTATGAGAAACTTTTCTGAAATGTTGACTTTTTAAGGGCAACCATGATATGTGATTTTGGTCTTGCAAGGACACAAAACACGAATATTGAGGAGACAGCAATTCAACATTAGTGGAGTGCACTGCCCTCATGTTGCAGTCAAAATCAATCCACTCATACGATCACAAAGAGAATGCTTCAGGTTAAAATTACTCTTGTAAATACAGAAGCACCTAATTCTACTCAACAGACTTGCAACCCCTTTTGGTTTGAAAAATAACTAAAACAAAAAAAATCATCTTAGCTGTCACATCTTTATTGCTTACTTCAAATGTTTTGCATACACGTCTCTTTATCAATAATGTATTACAGCAGGTCAAATGCCTTTGGGTCACCTACATTTTCAGTCATCCCTTACCTGCTTTGAGGAGACACTGACTAGGAACTAATGAACTGCAAAGAATAGGAACTGCTAATCTGGATGAAACCTAAAGGTTCAACTAATCAACTGTGTTCTCACCACCAGGTCTCTGCGGTGGATATTTATGGAAGACCTACAGAAAATATATGTCCTTCCCTTGAGGTGCTCTCCCAGAGCCCATTCTCATCATTATTTATGAAAGCAATAACATCATTACAGATGCGATTTCTGTTAATATTAGTTTTGGATAAAAATTCAAGCATGTGGCTTTATCAGACCTAACAAAGTTATTAAGCATTAAGGAGTAGGGAATTAAATTCTCAGTAGAGAACTAAAATGATACATCTAAAAGAGCTACTCATTTTTGTCTCTTGATGCATTTCTGGTAAATTTAACCTGAAGTCTTGCTCTATAGATAAAGATATTAGAGTGGTGCACAATTTATATTAGTTCCTAAACTACAAGATGGGGGTTTAAAACACTATTTGCAGACTGTAAAGATATTTATGCAGAAAAATTAAGTTTAGAAAATAAGACATTAATTCAAAAAACTTTTGAATCCCTCTTTAAACCAAAGCTTATCGCTCTAAAGACATTTAGAGCACAAGTTTGATGTGATTCAAATATATTGATCTTGTTACAGAAATACAGGTCACTGGTTTGATAGGCTTGTAAAAATGCATGGGGGGGGAACCCACCAAAGCAGTTGCAATTTATGTCACTGAAATTATTAAAGAAAAACATGCTTTGTGGAAGGCAGGAAGGTATCACAAACATGGGGGTAAAAGAAAGTCATGCACATTAGAATCACAGGCAAATTTACTGATGTATTAATCCATCAGTTTAACACCAGCCCTAATGTTCTCTTCCCTGGTAATTAGTTTAATAAATGAATAGTCACTATGAGATGCAACATGGTTCACTGAATCCTGAAAATGTGATCATGCTTATTTTAGAAAGAAAATAGCAACCTAAAGCATGAATAATTTAATAAAATCAGTTATTAGGACTATAAAATGCAGCATCTACGATTGCTTCCTTTTCAGCATGGAGCCCTACCTTCAAGGTTCCCCACTAACACAGTCTTATATTAGACAAGAACTTCAGATCTTGGGATTTCCTCTCTTTCAGATGCTTCCTCACAAATCAATGCTGGAGTTCCCTGCTCAGCACATATTTTTAACTTAAAGTTAAGTATTTAACCGTTTTCAGGCACTGCTTAGGAAATCTAAGAGCCTAATTTACCCTTTGGGATCAAAAAATAAGATGCTTTGAGTATCTGAATTTTAGGTATTTGAATCTTTTACCAGTTTACGTAGCAGCTCCTGCAAACTTCTTCTCTGGAGGTAAGGGTGATTGATGACAGCAACTAAGAATTGTCATGGGGTTTTCAGCAAATTATCAGTATGATCCTAACTTCACAAATAATTAGCATTTAGCTGGCCTTCTCTGCCCTTCTTAATTTTGGTCAAATAATGTGTTCAACAAAGGCACACTGAAGTGTAAGTAGAATCCTGTGAGAATCCTGTGTTAAACCTTCTCAAGTGAACAATGTAACTCATTTTATTGCACAGGTTTTGAAAATTTTCAGTAAATTAGTGTAAATATTCGTAATCATAATGCCCTGATTGAAATGTTTATCTCCACATTTAGCTCCATGTTGGAGTTATCTTCAGCTTTCTACAGAAATTATTTAACTAAATTGCCATTATTCTACACTTATTTAGCAGGTTAATACTTACAGTCAAGAGGTACGTCCAATGCAGAAATCATTTGGCACAGAAAGAGGATCAAGAAAGGTTTACTTGCAGGTATGCTCTTCTTTTTCATCATGATTTTAGGCTGTACTGAGTAAATCACACTTGAAGAATGAAGTTCAACTTCATCAGACCAGGTAGCTTGCAATAGTTATGTAAATATAGACAAGAAACCTGTAAGCAAACAAACAAACAAGAATAACAATATGGAGATGCAATGGAGAGTTGAATGATCACATACATCTTAATAATACTATGAAATACAAGCAATCTACATACTATATTCAGGGGTAATAGTTGCACCATATGTTCTAACGAAATCCAGAAGTTCTTAGGACACCTAGATCATATCACTTTCCTAAGGAAGCTACTGAACAACTCCTATAATCTTATTGAATGGAAATAGAAATGCCTCTCCTAAGAAAGATAAAGCATCAGTCCAGCTAGTTAAAAAAGAGTATATACTAAAGATAATAGTCCTCTGAAGTAGATTTAGTGGATTAAAGCTCTGAAGGCCCACCTAGCTTCTCTTTCAATCACTTTGCACCAGTCTTGGAAAGAGTTATTTAGGCATCTACTCCAATGAAAACATGTCTGGCCACAAATCTGCTAAGTAAACTGTAGGATCTTCCTGCAGCTTTGAGTTAGGTATCTCAGCTTTTCCCTGCTTTGGAACTCTTTCTAATACACAGATGTACACTGAACACTTCATGAAGTGTACACAAGAAGACTTCATGAAGGTGCTGAGGTGCTACCTTATGGACTGTACCTAGGCTCCTATTCCTGGATATTTTGATTCCACTCAAAATAGATAACATCAAAATTTATCATTTCTAGCCTGAAACCAAAATCTAATTAACTGTCAGCGTATTAGCAAACACTCTTCTCCTTTCCTATGTGATGGAATGTCAGAAATGAAACTTAAGGGAAACCTGTTCTTGGAAATGTGCTAGATTTTCCTCCTTGACCAAGCATGAGAGATCACATTAGCCACACAGAATGATTCAGGCTCCCTTCTTATTTTTACTGCATTTAGGACCAAGCTCTAACTTACAAGAATATTAAAGGAGTGAAAACTAACTGCTTGCAAGCCCCATCAGCATCACCAGTGAGCTAAAAAGAGCTACACAGCCTTAGAATCCAAATGATGCTTACACAATGTGTTCTCAGAAAATGGACATCAGCTGAGAAACTACTTCCCAGATGCCAGATGGATCAGAAAGTTAACAGTCATCAGCATTAATTCACCTTGAAGAGAACACTTCCTCAGCTATGGCTACAGATGTGAAACACAATGTTATCCAGTCCACAAAGAGTTAAGTTGCAAAGAAGCAGCTGCTTCACCAATCTTAAATGAAGAGTTATTTGTGCTTTCTGAAGTTACTTACCCCATCTATGCTAAGAATTTCCCTCAATCTTAACATTACAGAAGAAATTATGCCTCTTAATTGCTGCTGTAAACAGTGTTTCTCTTTGTATAGTCTTCTGAGCAGAGACTGGAACTGGAAACCAGAACTGAGGTGTAGAGCTCAACCTCTCATCCTAACCTAGCACATCAAACTCCCTGATTCTTACTGCCACTATCTATAACACAAATGTTTGTTTCAAAATCAAAATATTTCCAGCAGGTTAGAGTCCTAGAGATGTGCTACTCCTTGGAGCTCTTGGGAACTGCTGACTGGGGCACCACCGTAGAGGACAAATTGCTTATTCACATTCAAAACTACCTATAGTACTGCATACTGTAACGTAACAACTAATTATTTGTCATGGCAGATTAGAAAAATTACAAAACTCATCTAAGAGAGAATACCAGAGTTCTAGCCTTTGCATAATTATTTTTACAAACTGGAACTGCACTCACAGACAAGGTGGCAAAATACCGGTTTAAGGTATACAACAGGAAAGCATGACAAATACCCAAACTTTCCTAGAAAAGCAAACTGAATTTTATTACACTTTAAATGAGCACTCTAAATTGCTGAGGGTTCAGCTGGGGAAGGGGAGAAGTGTTCTTCATTCCATTTTTGGCACACATAACTTATTACATTCCTGCTGCAGTGAGCAAGGGGAAGGAGAAGAGCTTCCATTGAGAGTGCTTGAGAGCACTCCAGAGTGTTTCCTGCAACAAAGCGCTCTCCAGAAAAGCTGATTTTGTTCCACCAACCACAGCTGTCTGCTCTTCTCCACACTGTTCTCCTGATCTTTATGTCATCTCCTCATTACAGCATCACTACAATTAACAAGGTATCCTCTCTGTACAACGTGTTTGACCCAGGTTTTATAGGATACTCTTTGAAGTATTCCACAAGTGAAGCTTGACTTTTGTTGTTTCTTCTCCAAGCAACATTTCAGTTCTCCTTACAAAACCCAGAAAACTTGATTATCCAATTTATTGTCTTGTTCTTTTACCATGTAAAATGAGTATTGCAGTGATTTGAGAGTATTTTAAAATTCAATTGCATTTCCTTTGAACAAGTACAAATGAATGCACAAGCAGTGGTGAATCAGGCATGTGCAATTAAAATGATTGGGAAAGTAATACCCTTGAGAAAATGTCCCACATTGTATACCTGTGCTACTGCAGTGTTCTAGTAGGATACCTATTGAATCTACTGCTTGGACATTTGGATATATTATGGGAATTCAGCAGGCAGCGGGAATTATAAAGCCGAGCCTGCACACTGACTTTACCACTCCTCAGAGAGGCAATGTGCCCAAATGGTTTGTGATAGAACATATTACTGAAAACGTTTTTAGGTTTGTCAGCACAACTGGGTGCTCTTGTTGAATATATTCAAGGTTTAATCTGGCATAATTTCTTATGAATACAACAGCTGCTAAGTAGAACTAAACATTGCTTTGACATAATATTATCTACTACAAAATAAGGCCAGGCCTCTAAGCGATCAGTGTAAAGGCTTCAATTTCAAAACTTGAAATATTTATACAGCAGATTGCCTTTTCCTCCAGATGATTTATTTAAGATCTCTTGTAACTCAGACATTTTGTCCTACCCTTTTCATAGGAAAACATATTTATTTTGACAGCTGGTTCAGGAGTCTACTCACCAATTTGTAAAAATAAGATGTTCTATACCTACATACTCCTTAGGTACTTAACAAAATGTCACTTGTTATGTCTCCTGTGCTTCTTGCTGAGATGCTGATTGTGACAAACAACTTTGACTCCCATTTGCTATAGTATAGTAAACAGGAGTCAAATAAGTAAAAATGTATAAGCAAAGTATAGTAATATTTTATCACAAAGGATAATATCAGATTTCAAAAGGGAGGAGTTTTATGTATGACAAAAGATAAGGATCAAGTGAGACTTGATCCAACTTTTTTCACTTAAAAAAAAAAAAAGTACTGCTTTTCACAAATGAGCTACAGAAAGGCACAACTGGAAGAATGGAAGCACCAGTGAGCCTGAGGTAAACTACACGGAGAAGCACAAAACACAGTTTGGTTCCAGTGGTCTCTTCGCTGGTACCATTTGGACATAAACAAAAAAACCAGATACTTTGCAAACACAAAAAAACCCCAGCATATATACAGAAGGGATCATTTGGGAGGCAGAATCCAAGATTGCTTTTCATACTATAAAAATGGGACAAGGATCTTCTCCTTAATTTTAACAGCTCAAGAGCAAATGAATCACAGAATTGTTCAGGTTGGAAAAGACGTTTAAGATCATCAAGTCCAACCCAGCACCGCCAAGTCCAACTATATTTCTAAGTGCCACATCCATTTGTCTTTTAAATACCTCCAGGGATGACGACTCAACCAATTCCCTGATTGTTCCACTGCTTGATAATTGTTTCAGTGAAGAAATTTTTCCTAATATTCAATCTAAACCTTCCCTGGAGCAACTTCAGGCTGTTTCCTCTTGTCTTATTGATTGCTGCTTGAGAGAAGACACTGGTACATCACAGGTTACATCCTTCCCCTCTGAAGGAAGTCTCTATGCTACTCCCTTAATCATGTTCAGGCACTGTCTGGAAGAATTAGGATTGGATCAGGTCAATATCTGCCACAGAGAGTGTTAACAATTGAACAGTATCTGGGATTGTAGATCCACACCCACGCACACACACCCGCAACCCCTCAGTATATTTTACTGTGCTATACTAGTACTGAATAATACTAATTCCTAATTGGGATATTAATACAGACAGACACATTCTCAATGGACATTTCGAAGTTGAATCAGTTAAGGCTCCAGTTGACAGAGGGAACATGTTTTTCCTCTAGCTGTCTTCAACATAATCACATGGGATCTTTAATTGACTTTAAAGTGGTGCTGCAATATTTCTTTATTAGGATGTAAGATCTGTAAGGGAGTGTATTTACTGACATTCAACCTAGTGCAAAGTTAAAGATAGTATTTTCTAAATGTAATATTGTTTCACAGAGATTTGATGTATCAGCTGATTATGCATTTCTACTATTACATTATTTTAAGACAAAAAGGCCTCTATAAATGTGAATGAAAACCAAGGCCAATGTAAGAAATGTGAAAGGGTTATAAAATTGCAAGACAGAAGAACTGGAATATTTCATACACATTAGGAAAAAAGCATTCTCTTCTATATAGACATGATTGAATTAATGGGGAACAAGTTAGACACTGAAAATTAGAGGAAAATTAGTACTGAGCAAAACACTCCCTCTGCTTAATTTGTCTAATACCTGTATTTTTTATCATAGTGAAAGACAGATACAATCAGAATATAGGAAAAAATAAAGAGTTTTCAAGGAAATCTGTTTCAAAGAAGCCACAGAAACATATCCACAGATCACGAAAAGCAAATTCAAATGAGGTAAATGTATTTAGTGACTTGTACATAGAAAAGAGTGTTGATGGTTAATAAATAAAAAGAACAAAACACTTTCTTTTGAGGACAACTGCAATACCTTTATCACTTAATGAAAGATCTTTACAGGGCTTATGTGTTTTATACAACCATGCTAACTATGCAAGTATCAATAAAATGATTTAAAGTATTTTTGAACAACTGGTTTTGAATTTCACACTTCTTTTTTTAACTTATCTGGCATTTGCAGTAATAGGTAACATAAAAAACTCTGATTGGAAATGATTACTTAATTTAAAATCTTTCAAATAGAAACAGATAACAACATACTTAGTGTTACAGTACCTAAGTGTCA